ACTGAAGGAATAGGAAAGACCATGACAGCTGTTCACTCCTTCGCTGGGAGACTCCAAGCGGGGCTCCAGCTGACCGAAGGCATCCTGCATAAATCCAGACATGCTAAAAGCACCAACGAACGATGCATTGCAGCAAGGCTGTGGCCTCCAGCAAGGTGCGAACAGACTGGGTTCGAGCCATCAGGCGACTTTGAAAAAGAGGTCGGAAAGCTCAACACTGCATGCAAGGCACAAGGATGCAAGGGGTGTTGCGGCCGTTTTGCCGGAGGAACCTCGCCCGCGTCCTTGTGGATCTTCCTAGCCGGCGGAACCTGCTGGCCGCTGTCAGTTTCGAAGCAACGGAATGGGCACTGCTGCTGCTGCTGCTGCTGCTGCTGCTGCTGCTGCTGCTGCTGCTCTCCAGTTATGGCTGCAACAATCTCATAGAAGTCATACAGCCATAGCTCTGCCTCCGGGGAGATGGCCCATCACCGCCCACAGCACCAACCGCTGCCCGGCCGAGCACGTTAGCCCGAGAGAAGTGCAGCCGCACATGGCACGTAAGTCGACCGGGACTCCTGGGCTTTCGTGTAGGCACTCTCACGTCATCCACGCTTGAGGAAGGATTGTCCCAAGGTCTCCCGCGGCAGGCTTCACCGCATTTTCAACGGTTGCCAAAATTGCGGCGAAGAGAGGCTTCTCGTTGCTGACAAGCCCCAGATCAAGAGCTCCCCACATCAAGTGCACTTCATCCTCCGTCCTGTGCTTCAAGAGATTCAGGTCTGATTGTCCACAGGAAGAAGCTCTGCACGGGGTTCCATGACACGCTGGCAGTGATGGTTCTCTCATCCTGGAACTGTGGGAGCTTGTCTGGCTTAGGTTGATAGCTGATCACCTCAGATGGCAGCATGTGCCCAAAGCAGGTGAACATGCGTCCTCGCATGCTTCCTGATGCTGTTAGTTTTGAGTTCGCATGATCTTCTAAGGTGAGGACCGTGGAGCCCGCAGGCATCATCGAAGCCTCGGTCACAGGCGCACTTTGCTGGTGCAATCGCTGCGGCGATTACCCATGACTCTTGCTTAGAGCTGGTACCAACAGCAGGCAAAAGCTGCTAGCATGCGCCTGGCTGCCGCTTTGAGAAACATATCTTGGCGTGCCTCTACTGGCCACAGCGCATCATTGAGCCAGAGCACCCCAGTAGTTGACAAATCTGCCTTCGTGGCATCTCCACAAATGAATTCGACGTCTGTAGGAACAGATTTGGCAAGATCTGCCGCCAAATTCTGTGAATCAGCCACCAAGCACTGCAGCAGCTCGTATCCAGTGCACTTGAACCCCAATGCTGTGGCAGCAAAAAGACACTGGTAGCCAATTGCGCTTCCACCCACGGTGTAACGCAAGCCGGATGCCAAGTAGTTGCGTATGGCTTGGCTGAGGGAAGGGTCAGCCATCACTTCCAGCCAAGTCTCAAACCATGTTGTTCCATAAGCGCATGCAACGCTCCCAGATCCAAGTTCAAGGCATTCATCCCACCGTCGCAAAGCCCACTCAGATGAGTTTTCCAAACGACGCACTCCTCACACCAGAAACAAATATCCGGCCTACAAAGCCCCTGCAACGTCAATCGGTTTTCTGCAAATCCCCCAGCCCCCTCCTCGGAGAACATGAGTCAACTGCTGGAGGCCCGGCGGATTCTGGCTCACGGCAGCAACTGTTTCCAGAGGGCCTCCCCCGCCAGTGATTCCGCGCTCAGCTGCAACCACATACCTGCAGGGATTACAACACAGGGATACCCTTGGACATCCTCGGAATCAAAGCGCTACAGGTACCCGTGACCATTACAGGTACCCTACGGTACCATGCAGGCCGCAGGATGCTTTGAGAAACTCCCACCGCTTGGCATAGTCCTCCTCCTGTAGTAGCCTGCTTTGAAGAAGGCTGTTGCTCTCCAACTGCGTCATTGACAGTCGAAAGGGCCAAATCCCTTTGGTCTCAGCAAGCTTGATGCGCTGCCTGACTAAGGCCTTTGCTTCTCCGACTTTGCCTCGCAAACTCAGCACTCCACTAAGGCTGTAGTAAGCTCCATCGTAATCGGGATCTAGTTTCAAAGCCTGCCAGAAGCTGCTTTCTGCCTGAGCGGGCAAGGCCGTTCAACTTTGTCAAGATGCCACGAACATGACCGCTAATTCTCACCCCTGACACCTCTTGACAGTAGTTTCAACACTTTAGCTTCTGATCTCTGCCTCCTCCCAACTTGACTGCAGCATCTGAACTATACCCAGATTCCCATACGCAGCTGCGTGGGTTGGCTCAAGGTCTATGGCTTGTTGGTAGCTGACAGTTGCGCTGGCTAGATCGCCACTCATCTTGTGAACCACACCCAGCTGAGTGCAGATTTCTGGATCTGGGCTCAGAGCCACTGCAGTTTCCAGCGATTTCTTGGCATCTTCAAGCTTCCCCAGCTGCCGCTGCACGACTCCAAGCTTGGCATACGCAGATTCCAGGCGTGGGTCGAGGGCCAAAGCATTCTGATAACTAGCCTCTGCACCTTGCAAGTCTCCATATTCAGTCTTGACCTGTGCCAGCTCCATGTGGAGGACTTTGTTGGTGGGGTCAACGTCGAGGATTCCCTGCAGGATCTTCGCCGCCTCAACAAAGTCGCCATGCTTTTGCAGGAATTTTGCCAGGTATCGTTGAACCGGAAGGTGACTTGGTGCTAGCTGTACAGCCTTTGCATACTCTGCTTTTGCACCGGACCAGTTACCTCGTGCTTCCTCCACCAAACCAAGACTAAATTGGGCATGAGCGTTGCTCGAGGCAATGGTGAGGCCATTTCGGAAATACTGGGCTGCTTCATCAAACTTCCTTTGCTGCTGCAGCAGGTTGGCCAAGCTGAGGTGTGCCTTGGCACTGCTCGGCTTCAATGCCACAGCTGCCTGAAAGCTCGACTTTGCTTCCTCCAGCTGGCCCTGCTTTTGCAAAGCATCTCCCAAGCTCAATGTGGACGCCAGCAATGTCGGGTTGAGGCGGACAGCCTCTCGGTAGCTTGCAATTGCAGACTCTACATCTCCTTGCCGTTCCAGCACTATACCCAGGCTGTAGTGGGCTGCAGACATCGCGGGATCCAGCTTAAGTGCGGCGCTGTAACTTCTCGAAGCTTGGCTCAAGTCTTCCAGCTGCTCACAGGCTAGACCAAGACTGAAGTGATTCGCGGCTGTCTGGGGTGCCAGCCTGCTCAGAGAACGTTTTACAAAACGGTCTACCTGAACTGACTGCAAAGACACTCCATGCTTCCGGCCTTGCAGCTTCCAGGTAGTGCTGCTTTGCACCGCTTAAATCCGATAATTTCTCCAGAACCTTACCGCGGGCGCGGTAGGCATCCGCATAGTCTGGAAATTCAGCAATCGCCTTCTGAAAGCTTATGGAGGCACCTGCGAGCAGGCTGGAAGATTCGCGATCATCAGAAATTCTTCCTCCGAAGCAACCCCTCAATTCGAGAAGCTGGAAGCACGTTATGGACAGCAACATTTACATTTATTGCAATCTCAACTGACAGATGTAAAGCAGGATCGGGTTTCCAAGGGCTGGGGTTCAAACACGAATTGCGCACGACCAGTTCCTAGAGCAGCGCGGTACCATAAATCCGAGCATGCAGGAGCTAAACTGAGCATGTTTGCCTTGTAAATCACCGCTCTTCTCCAACTGTTGACCACGAATGAAATGCGTCTCCGCTGGCGGGGGCAAGCTAGCAGAAGGCCAAAGCAGAATAAGCAACACTATCGAAGAGCGTGGCATTGCTTTTAACAGGCTTTCAAGCAATGGACTTGAACCTGTTGCAAATGGTTTTGCAGCAAGCACTTGGGCTGCATGCAGCTCTATGATACCAGCAAGCCTACAAAGTTAACATACAAAGCAGGCACTGTTTCCGCATTGACTATGAACTGGAAAAGTAGCACCACGGAACGCTACAACTAGATTCCCGAGCAACGGCACGGACACTCTGATGTCAGAGGTGCTCTGTTTAAGAAAAAGAAATGATTACCTGGCTGCCAGTTGATATAACTTGCGACACCAGGAGGGTGAAACTCACACATCTTGGATGTGTGTGCGTGCGTGGGCGCTGGCAATGACGGTCTGTGCATATACTTGGATCATGTTAGGGCTACGTTGGGAAGGCTCCTTATGTGCCACAGGCCTACGATTTACGGGAAGCAGAAGCACAAAGCACATTGGCTCAGTGGCTCAGCTGCTAGGCTCAGTTGATGCGTCTCAAACCTAAGTCTCTGCCAGCCTTGGCTCTCAAGAGTTCAATTCTCACAGAATTTTGCGGATTCTCAAAAAACACAGGGGAACACAGCAATCCTTTCTTACACGGAATTAACAGGAAGGGCCCGGAATAGAGTGAACATTCTCCGAGAAACCGCGTAATCAGTCTCCGACTAATTGACTCGAAAGTGAAATGCAAAGAAGATGCGGACTTTGCCAGGAGCTCTGTCATATGGTCCATCTTTCTTGTGAGGTCCTTCACAAAACGACTGTGTGGCTGTGGCTTGTAAAATCCTGCAAAGCACTTACAGAATGTCCCGTGTCTTGCCTCCACAGAATGCTGGAGGCGCGCAATTGCCTGAGTGATCAAGCGCAGTCCAGCAGGGACATGTGACTAGTCACAGCCTAAGGGAAATGCTTCAGCTTTGCTGTGTATCACTTCAAAAAATCTAAGGGAAGTGCCTCACCATGATGCATGGAGCTCTGCATCAGTTTGCCGAGCTGGTCTCCACCTTACCGCGGCCATGCTGCAAGCCAGCACAGGTTTTTGTGAATCCAAGGCCAGTGCCATCGGGGGCGAGATCCTCATCCAATAGGCGTGCAAATACAAAATCGTGTGAAGGCTAGTGAAGGCTAGAGCAGGAACCTCCCGACCGGGTCCTTGTTCTTGTTTGTCAGGGATCCAATGACGTCTTTCAAGCCCTCCCATTGCCTGGAAAAGCCGAACGGATTTGTTCTCTGTGAACTGTGCCTGTCAGGTACACAGAACCGGCCTCTCGCTCTGGGTTCTTGTTTCGAGGTGGAGCGCTTCCAACCTAGAATTTAGAGACCAAACAGCCAGGAAGCAAGCCCGTTGGGTCTGCGCTTGAGTCATGGCGACACATGTGCCTCATCGTTGACTTTTCTGTGACGGGATTTCCGACCTGAGCGAGGCGGAGCCCGATATGCGTTGCTTTGCAAAGCCTCAGCCGAAGGTGTAGCCTAGCCGTCCAGCGTTTCCCAATCTAAGGCACAGGCATCCAGCAAACATTCAACAAAGTCTTCCTGAGTTCTGTTTCCAGAAGTCATGGCTGTTCAGGGCACGTGGCAGCCAGACATCTTCTGTCAGGCCAAGGTTCCATTTTGATGACGGGATTGTTGATTGAGAGCGTCTGCATTACCTGGAACATGCGCGAACATACACTTCGGGTGAGGCCCAGAAACTCTCGTGGTTCCTCCTTGGACTGCTTCAACCTCAATCTATGTACATTGACATTTGAACTTCGGCCTCCGTCACATGCCGGACTGGAACACGGCACATCTTGGCTGTCCTAAGTGTGCGCAAGCGAAGCAACCCCCTGAGTGATGCCTGGTGACTGGTGTAGGTGTGACCATTGTTGCCGCCTAGCCGCTCGTATGCGTTATCAGGTATGGACAGGAAATTCTTGAGATCCTTCTCACGCACAATCCCGTCCTGAGCTGAAACACCATTGCTTGCACACTGTGATCCACAGAGCTGTAAGCAGACCGAAGCTTGGAGACAGACGCCTCTGGTGTTGATCTCTTTGAAGAGCTCCTTGAGATCTTCGATGTGGCGCTTCCTTAAGCAGCATCTTCTCTAGAACTTACTGACTTTCAGGAAAACGCGCGGAGCGGAAGAACTTAGAGTTGTCACTGTCAGCCCTCTGGCTTGCTGGGCACAGCAGGGCTCTGCACGTCTCAGGCCACGAAACGAGAAACATGGTCTGCAGCGAAGCTTCCGATCCTCTTCTTCCGACATAAGCTGTATCTCCTGCAAAATGCATCAAACAGACCGTGCTTCGATAGGAGCGGCATAAACAGGCATGGCACCTTCTCTTGGCTGGAAGTCGTGGATATCATGTTCTCACTGACCTGGCAGTGTCTTACATTCTTCATCTGAATTGCTGTATGGGTCGGAGTGTTGTCAGAAGTTGCTCGAATTTCCTTCACGGAAAACATCCCTTCTTTTTGACGCACTGTCTTAACGGGAAAACATCTCTCTTTTTGAAGACCTGTCCTTCAGCCATGCGTTCAATTAGCTTTATAGAGATTTGGCAACGTAACCAGTGCCGCGAAATCCTATAGCCTAGCCTTCCGCGGCCTCCGCCATGCTTTCGTAGCACTGTTCTGGCAACATTATCTCATTCCCTTGCAAGTCTCTTTAGGTCAACTCTCTAATCTGCACATGGTGCTAAACCATGCTAGCCCATTGGCAATGGCCTCTTACAGATATGCCTGAAGCCATCTACGAGTTGAGAACTCATCTCCTGCCGCTTAGCCACAACTGCTGTCAGTATGGACAGCAGGGTCCACGAGCTTGTCACCATGAAGAAGACAAAGGCAAACTTGAAGGTCGGAATGTTGTCCATGATGCCTTGGCTGGGTTCTCTCGCCTTGTACCACCCAGTGCCGGAAACAGACTTATGCAACAAAATAGGACATGTTTTCGAATCCCAAGCACTGTCCAGCGCTGCAGATTCTGAGTCTGATTGGGCACCGCTCATAACACGAAAGAGAGTGAACATGCTGTCTGGCACCTCAGCGTTGACTGCAGAGATTCCGTGAAACGACTCCTCAGCCTGAGGACCCAACATCTGACAAACTCTGAGGCGTCTGCGGTCTTAAACGGTAGTATCAAAGCCTCATCAACCTCCTGCGCGTGTACAATGAATCAGCAAATTCTCAGGCATGTGCATGCTGTGCTATCTTCCCTGGTGCCTAGACGATTTGGGGGTGTTTGTAGCACTTTCTGCTGTTCTGTTCCCCGTGTTCCCTATCCAAGCTCTGATCAGGAAAGGTCGGCACACAAACCAAACCTGCAATACTTCTGTAGCTGGGTCGCCTCATCCGTGTCGAAAATCATTTTGTGACCGATGAGTCGTGTGGTCAATATTCCCATCGCGTACAGGGTAACCTCAACACCACAATCGACATCAGGAATAACTGCCGCAAAGGTGCTCCTGGATGCTCTCAGTGCGGCAAGGCAGCTACTGTGAGCACTAGCACCCAAACAACCCCCTGGACAGCGGCGGTGACCTTGCAAGCAGGAAAGTAATGCAAGCAAGTGCGGGCACAGACGCGCTGTTCAGAATGGGAGTGCCGAGGCTGCAACGCTGACAACCAGAATGTATAGTGGCCGAACAGATTTAACGAGCCTTACAAGCAATTTGACAGCTGTTGTGCCGGAATGCCGGGCAACACCGCAGCACGTCGAGGACTGCAGTCAAAATGCTTGGCCAGTCTGAGAATCCGGAGGAGTCGGAGCAGACGCATCCTGAGTGCCCAGACAACTGGCTGATAGAGAAGGAGACGAGTAGCGCATCTGCCTCCGCACTTCCTGATGCATGAACAAAGCTCCTACAGGCGAGGGCCCCACAGCATCATTAGCTGACCCACGTTCACGCCATGCGCGGCTTTGCTGCTCTTTCGGGTGCCTTGCTTCGCTACTGGTGACACGGAGCCTAGCTGTGACAAGGTCCGCAACAAAATGAAATGAAACATCTGTTGGACCAAGCAGCTTTGACCCCCTTGGAACGATTTCCTCCACTGCATCACTTGCTGGTTTTGTGAAGCAACAGATCCCAAGAAAGCAGGGAACACAAGCCGTGCCTGGCCACGTTGACCAGAGGCACGAGCCATGAATCGCCCTCAGAAGCTTCCAAGCACAGCTGCAAAGGGCGCCAGTGCTGAATGCTCCCTACCCAATATCTCATGCGGTCCAAGCACAGCAGAACTGACGACAATGGCCAAGTCCAGCAGATTCCAGACCTTGACTGCGCAGCTTGCGGAATCGGGAAGCCAAGGGCGAGGACAAACAGCTTCAAGTCCAACACTCAATACAGCTTAGCGGCAAGGTCCGGGCTGTCGCACGAGAAGAAGTCACAACCGAGGCGCTTCATTCGAACGACAAGCTCAAAGACGTAAATGCCTTGCGCTTCCGTGTTCCATGAACGAAACTACGGGCCTGGCCATCCGGCCCCATCTGCTACATTCTGACCAGTAGGCTTTCGCTGCGTGGAAGCAAAGAGGGGCGTCACGTCATGGAGTTCTTGCACTTTCGGTCGCTGAGCCCCCACAGGCGCAATGTCGCTTCTGCATGCTTCCGCAGAAGTTTGGCTCAAGTGTTTTGTGCCCTCCTGTTTGCAGGGTAATCTGCATTGATTTCAAGCCTTCTCATGGATGCGTCTTGCAGCGTGCCGATTTGTGATTTCTAGCCGTCATTGTTGGGTCCATTCAAATCTCTGCCAGAAAAAGTTGTCCAACTTGGTAGATCTGCTCGTTCCCCTCCATCCCCGCCCCCACCCTTTTCTCTTTGCACCTCTCTTCTGCTTTGGCCTTTTTTAAGCTCCATCTCCCGAAAACTCATCAACAGCATTCAACGGCCGCCTTTCGCGGAGGTTCATGGTCTTTCGCGCACACACCAAAGCTCGGACTTTCGCAAAATAATGTTCTTCTCGTTCGGAGCAACCCAAGACAAACAATGAATCGATACTTTTCGCTGACCTTTGGCCGTGTTTTTGTGCATCTCCAGGAAAACAATCTGGAACCCTGTGCCGCTAACTTGCTATATAAAAACATTAAAGCAAGAGTTGTAGAACAACCCTTATTTCTCTTGAGGCATCGCTCAAGCATCTAACTTACGGCGCACCCCTGTCGGTCCGCTTATTGATGTTCACTTGCTTGTCTTCCAAGAAGCTTCAAAGCTGCCGAGGTGCATAACAAGAAGTTTTCAATTACTGCCCAACCTCCCCACTCATAGTCAGTCTCAAATCCCATCAGCAGGGCATTGAAGGCAATCACGCCACCTCACAGGTAAGAGACCGCTTGAGAATCACCTCGCTGGCCTTCGACCTCCTTATCCTCCTTCTGGGGCTGCGACCGATGAAGGATTGAAAAGCTGGCTGATCTGTCCAGGACAGATCCCACTCCAGCCTGGAGGAAGAGACCGCCCATCGCAGCTCGGATGAAGTCGCTCTAGCACCAAGGCCCGGGCACAAAACCGACCACTTTCAAAACGCGTGTCAGTCGCAGCAATCGAATGACACCAAGAAGGTTGGACCACGAAGCGGTGTCAACCTCCAGAGAAAGCATTGTACTTTGCACGTGAATTGCAGCAACTGCTCCAGCCAATGCCATACAGGCTTTTAGGCCCGTCGCCGGCAAAAAAGGGGACAGCCACTGGTCCAGAACCTCGTGTCCACAGCTGATGTGACGAAACTCCAAAAGCGAATGGCGGGAAAGCAAGGTGGACAAAAGTCAAGCTCCCGGCACCAGCTCCCACGACAATGAGATCTAGGAGGCTCCATAGCAGGAGGTGGCGGGGACCACACAGCAGCCGACACCTGAGTAGTGCTCACCGAATAGGTCGTGCTTATCGATGACGCTGCGGCATTGGATGGCGCTTGGCCGTTCTCAGCCCAGAGCTTCCATAAACCTACGCGGCAGAGCAGCTCCAAGACATAGAAGAGCAAAGTTGCTTGGTCCAACCAATACCTTCGACGTTCATAGTCTGATTCACGGTGTTTGGTCATTTCGCTGAGCATGGTAGCGTGCAAAGCGGAATCTAGTACGCCCAAGGTGCAGCTTCTTGATTAAGTCCTGTTTGCAGTGCAGCGCGTCAAGAATTTGAGTCTGAAACCCGTCAACAGCAGCAAATGGTCGGGCACATGCTACTGAATCTGTACCAGGAAAACCCGCTCCTCCGAGTCGGCTTCCAGGACAATGCTAACAGTGTTGGAACATATGACCGAAGCTGCCACCAGATGGAACCACCATGACTCAACAAAGCAGAAGATCGACCTTGCAACATGATAGCGCTTGAGAGTCCCTTACGCCACACGCTAAAAAGGTTCACGGAATGTGCCGTCAAGAAGCTCTCTGTCTGATGGCGACATGGCTTCAACTTCATCTGGGCTGTCAACCCGAAGCAAATCCTCGCTGATGCCATGAGTCAAGGTGACGTCTCCTGAGTCAGCTCAGCACCCCTTGCCCTTGTCATGCAAAACGCATATACATCTTGTACAATGTTTGTTGCAGTTGCGGCGCTTTTTCCTTTGCTGCGGGGCGCCGTGGCCTCATCGCTTGGAACGAAATACTCCTCATGCAGCGGGACTTTCTGGTAACCTCAGAGAGTGACAGGGACTGCCAGACTGGGCGACTCGCGTTTCCCTTGCTGCTGGGCGCCATGCCATTCGACAGCGGCGAAGGTACCATTGCTGTGACAGCACTTCAAGCATAGCCATGCTTGAGCCAAGCTGTCGCAATCTCCACCGTTTAAAATGCTAGCACTGACCGGCTGACCTGATGGCTTCCGCCCTCCTTTGTGCATTTGGACAAACTGCTCAAGAGGACACATAGATGAAGCCTGGCAGTTCGACTCTACGTCAGAAAGGCTTCCAATCGAAATCGTTTTGGCCAATGGAGTGAAAGGTTCTCGATAATTAAGGCATAATGCTGTGCACAAGTTCGTGCACTGCGATGTCGTTTGCTTAAGTTCTGCTCAGCCTTGGAGATCCTGCTACCCCAAGCCACTCTTTTCACTGGCTCTGAAGGGCAATTCCAGAAGCACCCTCCCCGGCCCTCTGTCGTTTCTTTGCCCTTTGTCCACCATACCATTCCCTGCCCATTGTGTACCATGTCCATTCGCGCTCTCTCCATTCTCGCGTACCAAAATGTCCGATATTGTCCGATCTAGCCGGACATGCGCAGGCAGAGGCGCAGAAGCTGCGAGCAAGCATGCCCAAGCGGAAGCGGCATAGCGTGAAAGCTACTGAGAAGCATTGGGAAGGTAGGCGGCACAGTCAATTGGGCTGATCATCTAGCGTGTTTCATCCGGGCGGTAGATGCGCAAAAGTCTGCTCTGCTCTTTTGGCAGGGCGTGTGAACCTGGATTGACACGTTCCATGCACGTGCATATCCTCTTTACGCAGCAGATGTCTGTAATCACAACACTTACAATGCACATAATGGACTGGCTTTCATGTTATGAGTGCTCAAGTGCCGCTCTTTCGCTTCTAATTATCGTGTCTTCGTGTACGCCATGAGCCGGATGATTCTGGCTGCCGTCTTCGCAAAAGCCATCCTTCCGCAGAGCTGGGCAAGTGCGGAAGTCCCTAAGCCGGGCTTCTGGAAGATGTCTGAGAAGAGAGCCACTGCTCCATGGAGACGGAGAGGCCAGCTGAGGTCATCACGGTGTCGAAGATCTGCTCCATCCGGTCCTACAAGCTTGCACCCAGTGCCAGTGCGGTAGGTAGCTTGAGAATACAAGACATCCTGACATTGGCAGTGCCTCACGAATGTTTGCATCCGGAAGCTTCGCAGCGAGCTGCAGGAGGCATGTCCGGCAGTCCTCCAAAATCAAAACAGCAGAGATCACTTTGGCCAGCTGTGCTGGTATGAGTGTTGAATATGGCTTCTGATTATTTTCCCAAAGCCGTGAGTGTGAGTCCGCGGTCTGCTACTTGGGGAGAAGCATGTGACAAACATGCGCCATATCATGTAAACTCATAGACCAACTCCAAAATACTCAAAGTGCTTCAACACTGCCCTTCTGGAGCTCTGAAGAACAGCGACACATCCACAGCGAGGGGATGGCGAGTGACAACATGTGACAACTAGTTGTTTCTCTTGACGTGCACTTAGAAATGCCTCTGAAGTCATCGACTCACCGTCGCTGGAGACATTCATGAACAGCATCCTCAGCTGTGGAAATTCTTTCGCCGGCCTCCCTGAATGTTAGGCTGGATGCTTCATGCTCTGTTTACCCTTCCAATCTCAGAGTGGAGACACACAAGCAGCCCTGACTGCATCTTGGCTGCAGTGTGTCGGAATCGCTCACGGGATGCTCGCGCAGCCTGCGGAATCCAACGAAGGTGAGAGCCAGGATGCATATGTTTCCGCAATGTTCAGGCTGGGGCAGAGCGACGAAGCCGGGCACGTCCACACTGAAGTCCTCTCTGCTCGAAGCGATTTTCAGGAGCTCGGTGTCTAGATCCTGGGAACGCTTGTTTTTTTAACACTTCCCGGACGCCGAGACCAAAAGCAGTGTGCAAGGCAGTCTTGCTCACCGATTCCACTGTTGATCAAGATGAAACTCCTCAACTGATCGTGGTCCTGGAATGAGCGGCAAAGCGCTTGCACCACTTCTGGAAAAATGCATTTCTTGGGCTCACGGCTGGTTGAAGCACTTCCTCGCCCATGGACAAGCTTTTGAAGGCTGCAGTAAAAGCGGCCTTCACAGCAGTACAGCCATGTTGGGGTTATCCAAAATTTTCTCATGCAGAAGAATCTCTTCCATTCTCTTCCAAAGTTCTTTTTGCGACCACCATCGGGAACTTTCGCGGAAGCATGCTTGAAGCAGACCCCAAGGCTTGAGCTCTGAAAATAACCCTTTACCCACTGCATCTGAAAAGCTGTAGCTTACTGTACTTGCTTCGCAAAATCTGAAGTTCCTTTCGCACACATTATCACGAATTTTGGTGGAAGGCCTTCTTAGCCAGCCTGTGGTCATTTGACGCGTTATATGTATATACATAATATACTTCCACACGGCGAATTCGGATGATATTCCCAGGCGCAGTCCATAGTCCATAGTCCAGGGACAGCACGTGCTGCATCGCGCTAGCAGGCCTCTTCGGCACCTTCCAAGTCAAGCAGCATCGCCTCCAAGGAAGCACCAATGCGGATTGGCTTAGAAGTACATCGATTGCATACGATTGTAGTGGTGGTGGTGATGGTGTTGAATTCTATGACAATCCTTTGCACACACTACAAGCCATTACTGGAATCCCAACCAATAGAAATCGTAAAATCAAGAAACATGTGATCTAAGGCAATCTCTTCTGCCGTACAGGATCTCAATAAGGCTTGGCGAGGTTGCGTTCAATTGCTCCAACGAATCTCCCAATGACCTTCTTGATCCTTCTTGTGTTTGGGCTGGTCCATGCTGAGTTCACCCGTCCATGACCCTGTTGCCTCAAAGGTGACCGCGCTGCTCTTGGCCGGGCCTTTGCTTCGCAGCTTCAGCAATTCAGTGGTTAGGAGATCCATGAAAAAAGGCAAGCGGCTTGCGCCTTCACTTCTTGGCTTCGGCTTTGCTTCTTCCGACTTCGGAGTCTTCGGCTTGGCCCGGGGTTCGGCGGGCGCTGGCGAAGCTGGTGCCGCCGCTGCTGGTGATGGCACTGGCGATGCAGCCGGGGGAGAGGGCGCTGACTTTGCGGCCGAGGACTTCGCAGGTGAGGACTGCGGAGTCACCTTCTGCACCAGGGCAATCAACACCGACGCCGATTAAGGCCGTGGCGTCTACTTTGGCCTCCTCCCTCCGTGGTTCCTCGAAGGCCTGAACCGGCTGAGCATAGCTACCAGCTGAATCACACTCTGTCTGCAGCCAAATTTGCATGAAACAAGCCCCGGCCCTGACCAACATGTGGGGACGGCAGAACATGAGCCTGCCCTACACAGCTCTATTGGGTGCATGTGAGACCGGTTGTCGCGGCCGTTCATTTGCCCTTGGGAAATGTAGGATGCTTACAGAGATCGTGTCGGTGTTTCTTTTCAGTGTGTTTTGACCGTCAGCTCTTCCTGCGCAACACGCAGGCAGCAACGTTGAGATGTATTGCCCACGTAAAGCCGGGTGCTGCTCAAGAGGTTGAAGCACAGCCAGGCGAAGCTCCAAATCTCGTTACTTGGGAGGTCAAGATAGTCAAGATGTACAGCATAAGTGCAAAGGGCGGGGAAGGGCCCATGCGGCATGGAGTGATCATCCGCCGCACGGGCTGAAGCATGCCATCAGATCAAGGTCATGCATTTGCATGCGGAGACTTGACGATCCGGTTGACATTCACAGCTCAAATAGCTCAAGTCATGAATAGCAATTCAATGCAATTCACATTACAAGTTTGTAGCTTGCTGCCGGGCCTGCTTGTCGGGCTCGACATCGGGAGGTGGGGGAGGAGGCACAAAGAAGCCCTCCTCTTCCTGACGCACTGTCACTGCGGGGGGGATGCATTTTTATTGTCTTCGGGGCGCCGCATACGATCCACAAATCCATGCCTCGGGGCTGACCCACAAATTCACAGTGTAGGCCTGACAGAGTACTCGGTTGCCTAAGCTTATCTCGGCTCTCAGGTCCATAACAGGACAGGCAACTTGCATCTTTTGATCTGGCAAGGGCTCGAGGGGCTTCGGTAGCTTGACGCTACTCGTAGCTCGGCAGCTTGCAGAAGCGTGCATTAATTACAAGCTCCGATTCAGAACTGTTCACAACAGAACCGAGCTTCCAATGTGACCAGGCTGTCACTGGATGACGTGCTGAGGATTTCAAAGATGGGCACACTACCTGGGCGACGTCTGTCAGTGTCACAGAAGGTCAACTGTTTACTGTAAGACAGATCATCGGTGAAATTTCGTCAAGCAAAGGGAACCACTTCTCCATCCCAGACTGTTGAGGTCGATGTTTCTGCTTCGCAGGGTGTGGTATGGTCCGCATCCATAACTACGTAGGCTGGAAGCGAGTCAAAGTCACTGCGGCCACGAGCAGATTTGGAGAGCTTAGGAAATCTGGCGTAAAGTTTCTCGCGTACCAGCTTGGCTTTGAGTTCTTCAAGCTGGGCATCATCCATGCATTCTGCTTCCTCTGCTGCAACCTTGCAAACAAAAGCCATCTCCAAGGGTTTGAGAATTCTGCTCGCATGCACCCCTTCTTGCTGGGTGTCGGTGAAAACGCAATCGCATGCTTCTAGCAACATGATGCCGAATGGGTTCATGGTCCCTGTTGCCATGCCATAGATAGGCTGCCGTAATCCCAACATGAGGCGAACCACTCGGATCCAGTGTTCGGCAGTCGCCTCTGGGACCTGTACAGATTGCGCAGCCTGTGGGCTGGAGGACCCTGCAATACACAAGAATACCATTGGCACGTGCGTGGTCGACTTCTGTATGCACGTGAGCTTCTCCTGCGGAGATGAAAGCAGTTGACAGCAGACTGCAACGCAAGCCCTCGGAGCATGAGTGGGGCATACTAGTTTATTCAGTTCCTGCCTACCCAAACATCAAATCCAAACTCAAAAGCAGGGGGAGAAGCCACGGTAGCAGCCTGTCAATCTAAGACCCTTTTGAATTACAGACCCTTTTCAACATTCGGACCCCCGGGCTCAAGCAGTCACAATGTGTGGAACCCGTTTAGTGCAAAGCGGGTTGGTCTGGCAGAACTAGAGGACACGCCATGACTGCGTGAGCCGGCTTGGGCCCGGAGGGTCTGGAATTGAAGCACTCATGTACCGGGGGGGGGGTTCAAGTGTGGATGTTGAGCCGAGGTGTCCTCAATGTCTTGCAGTGCCTCCTCGCCGGCTCGCAAGTCAACCATAATGGTTGTTGACCCTTGCATGGGATTCTCCATCTCTGTTTCCTGTTGCCCTACCATGGTCTCCTTTCCCAGGGCCGGAAATGGGCTACAGTTGCACGAGTTGCCAGTTGCACAAGCAGATACCAACGGCATGTGGCCTCAGTCTCAGCAAAGCTGGGGCTCGCAGGCTTGCATGAGGCAAGAGAAAGAGTCAAACTTGATTTTACGCTTCAAGCACCTTCATGACATTTGCATGTTGTGGTAAGGTCCAGGGCTTGCAGGGCTTGCGCCTGGGCTGCCTTGGCCGGAGCCGGAGGCGGCGGAGACAGCACGCTTCTGGGGAATTCCTTTGTGACGAGATTTGCCACGGGATCCACCTCGGATCTGCATCAAGGGGTTCACTTGCCTTAAGTCTTACATCTGTGTTTGCGTCAAGCTGCTGCCCTGTATGTCTGACCAGAAGGCTCTCGATCTTGCTCAGAGCTCACCTCAAGCTTTGAACTGCTCTCTTGTTTGAACTCTTGCGCCAAGCTGAGGTCCCCAGCAAAGCAGTTGCAATCCTCGCCTTGACACAGGACACAGCAATTTCCTGGCGCTGGATCCAAGTCATGCAAGATGTCTTCTGGCCCGGGCCAAACTTGGTAATCTCTTGCCCCATGGCAGCAAAAAGGGCCGACGAGGACAAGTGCAGTAGAACTGTTGGACATCAGCTGCCAAAAGTTCAGGGGCTTGGCTGATCAAGTCGGCCGAGAGTATCAGATCTACCGTGCTGGCAGCTCGCACATGTACAACATCTTACACATCCGATCGGCGTGCTCCTGCCTGTTTCATGATGCTTCGCGGCTACTGTGTCTGAAGCTTCGATCGTTTGAGTGCAGAGCACATTGATGCACGCACGATCTGCAGCATGATATGAGCAGAGGAAAAAACAATTTGTCTGGCCTATGGTCAAAAATCCAATTCTCGCGCAGACCATCTCTTTCCTAGTTACTACGATTTGGCTTAAGACCAACTGTCCAAATCTACTACTACTTGTACTAGTATCTCGTTTTACAACTCTTGCATCGATCTTGTTTCTCGACAAATTCGCGTTCGAACACGAACACACAAATGCTGATCTCGTCATTTCGCGGGGACCATCTCGTTTTACAGACTAAACGCAGGATTTCCAGGACTTCTGACCGACGTTTGACATGTTTCAAGAGACGGTCCGCGACTCATATGGAATGTCACTCAAAGATGACAGATGCCAAATCTAACAAAAGTGTCTCGTCAGCCCGACAGCTTCCATCGGCTGATGTACCTAGATTAGCTCAGGTCTTTGCAGAGGCGCCTTGCATTTTGCTCGCGACAAAGCAGGAAATTAGTGGCCGACACCTACCAATGAAATGTAGACATAGTGAACGTCGGACACGGCGCGCCCTTTCGGCGGCACAAGTCACTAACAGACATGCCCTGCAACTCAGGAGCATGAATTCCGCCACAGACTAAGACAGAATCAAAGCCGGCACCGGCTGCACCACCCACATCATGGATGAGTGAGTCGCCAACATGACAAATACGCCGGGCTCCGCAGACTTCCAGGGCCCTGGAGGCTTCTCTGAAAATCTCTTTGCCTGGCTTTCCAAAAACGTAAAGATGCTTACCGCCTGAAGCCGAGTACTTCTTGGCGAATTGCCCAGGGCAGTTTGCTAACACACCGTTTTTGCGGTGGACGACACAGTCTGGATTGGATATGATCAAGGGTCGCTGGCCTTTGGCGGCTGTCTCCAGCACCTTCCCAAACACACCCCAGTCACTGGCGTCAGATTCGTAATTTGATTCAATCTCGGAGAGGGTTCCCTTGTAGCATACTTGAACACCGTTTGCCAAAATAAAATCACACTCTTCAATGCTACTCACGAGTTCCATGCCCATGGAACGCAGCTGTTCTGGTGACCATGTACCACGCTCTGCGTGATCTGCGTGAGAAATGAAAACACAGCGTAATCTCACGGGCGCAGCTTCACTAATCAAGGCCTCCAAATAACGCTTTGCTTGGTCACCGCTGGTGACTACATTTGTGAAATAGTCTGTCGCCAGGCCGAGACTCTCCAAACGCAGCAAAGCGTTTGGAGATTCGCATGGCGAGTTTGACACAATGGCCATGGGGATTCCACGCTGATGAAGCTGGTCTAAGCAATCCTGTACGCCGGGGAGCACCTCCCTTCCGTCATGGAGCACCTTGGGCAGCAAGTCAACGCGTTTACGCATGTGTCTGGCATGCAGCAACTCCAAGAATCCAAGAGCCGAGGAACCCCGTACTGGTCCAGCCTGCCAGGGTCAACTTTCCACAGCGGATCATATGCAATCCGGTATCCGTTCATCCGATGAGTCACTCTTGCGTCTGAGTAACAAGATCCCATCATAGCCGCGAGTGATAAGGTCAGACATGCCGCTGATCTCATCCGCAGTTGCAGCTGCCGTGGCTGCTCTGCAAGACGTTCGTCTTCTCACAAGCTTCGCCAGAAGGAGTGCAAAGCATGACTGCTTCCCTGGAAGACGAAGCCCGATCGCCGTGTTTTGTCGCGGAGTCGCCGTTGACGCTCCCCAGAATTTGGTTGGCAATCTGCAGCTTGTGGCCGCTGACACTAACGCAGGCTTAACATCCATGGGTGATCCTCAAGTTGACAACAACGTAACAACCAGAAACCGCGTAGCGCTAAGTTACAATGCAAGCGGCACACATTTCTTTCGTTCCACTCGCAACTCCTCTATGAATGTATTCTAGTCCACAATTTTGAACACAGCAAATTAAAAAGGTGCCCGAGCACCTGGGATGGCTATTGGAACGGCACACGTGTCTGAACTGCCTCAACTCAGAAACTCGCATCTTCTCGTAGGCTGCAGTCACAAGGGCAGAGGACGCTTTTAGATTACGCCTGCCACTCTATTCCCGGCTGGGATTCACTCAACTTTGGAGGTTCTATGCATGAGAAGGGCACTTCCACATCAGCCATCAGCTCCACACCTCAGCCGAAAGCTCTGCATAGCTTCGCAGCTGGCTGGGAGTTGCACACAAGATGAGACTGCAACCGACGGAGGGTTTTTTCGCTCAGCCTTATGTGCATGGATAGCGCCGCAACCCGGACAATGAAAAGAGTAGAACCTCTGCGAATGTTGTGTCCAGGTCGTCGAGGTCCGAGATGTCAAGCTCCTTGGCAAGGACCCTCAACATCTAGAATCTGCACAAATCTTGTCGCAAAATTTAAATGCAGGACATGGTAGTTGTTCAAAATACCTGTCCCCAAAATGGCCATAAGCTAGGTTCCCTTTATGGTTAGGATCTCCTTATCAGGAAGTGTATTCTCAATGGTCCCTCCCTTAAAAGGACGATGATGCCCACAGGGCGGCCTGCCTGCATAGCCTCCTCCAACTTCGCAGCTTCCCTCTTCTGCCTTGCTGTAAGCATCCTGCAAGCTGCGCACTGCTCCGCTGCTCCGCGAGCCGAGAGTCTGAATTTGACTGCAAAGCTGTGATCCTTTCAGCTGGCTCACCAGTCTTGATGTTCTGCTTCAAAGGGACCTTGCAAGGGCTTCTTCAGGCTCCCTATACTCCCTGATTCCAAGCATTCCAGAAGATGATGCCTCGACCAGCTTGAAACCAGAGATCTCTGACCATTTCCTCAGACGTTCATGATGACGGGCAACATATCAGGCCAGATCCTTTGGCTTTGCTCTCAGCTGAGCTGCAGAATTTTCGTTGCGACGTCATCGTCAACAATTGACACCACCATGCCTTCCTCCGGCTCCGGGGAGCCAGGCCTGAGGGACTTTCGTTTTGGCTGCGGAATCTGAGGTTGAGACGGTGTGACGGTGTGGTGCTGGTGCCGAGCTGCTGGTAACGGCAGGTGCGACCTGCAGCATGCATGTAGTCGTCGATACCTGAATGGCGGTCATCTTGTCAGCATCGTACAAATGGCGCATTTTGGCTTGAGCTTCCTTGATGCCGCTAAGCCCTGGACTCTCTGGCTCACCGATTAGGACGACTGCCTCGACAAAGTCCAAGTGAATTCCACGAATCTCCTGCATCCGGTGATGAGAACCCTTGCCCCGCATGTTTGAATCAGTATCCTGGGACGATGCCACGATCACCTGACATTCGCTCTCGTCCCGCACTCGCTGCCGGCTTCCTTGCATCAAGCCGACCAATCCAGACATTCCTCAACCTACACAAGGTCCACAAGCAACAAATTGTCTTCTAAATTGGCCTCAGCCTCCGGCAAACAGGCCCTCCCCCACCCCAAAATTACGCCGCCCACTCCCACCACCCCCCACACCCCCCCCGCTTCACGCAAGCATTTGTTTTGAAACGTCCACCCTCCTTTGCCAGCCCGGCTGCACAGGCGGTCGCGCGCTAGCGCGTGCAATTATTCACTCGCTTCTCGCCTTCGCTGCTCCAAAGCTTGGATGCCGCCTCAATTGCCTCGGCAATGCTGATGACGTTGAACCTTCGGGGCACTACAGGGCAAGCTGGCCTTAGCAGGACTGCAGAAAAAACTGTGCTAGGCGAAGGTAAAAGAAAATGCTTGCAGCAGGGGCGCTTATTCTCGTCGTAGTCCTCCATCCGGAATCGCAGCTGGCCTTGGGTCACAATGGCCATGCGGAAATGAACGCTTTGAGCCTAATGCACTCGCTGCGGCCATCAGAAATTCAAGTATCTATCAGTGAGACCTAAACCACAGGTTTCGGGTCCCAGCTCAAGACCTGGCTGCGCCCATAGGTGCCTGCACACAGGTCATACAGGGGTGGAGAAGTGGGCGGCCTGGTGGGGGCAAAGAACGTGATCTGGCCATACCAAGCTCCTATGCGGTCGAGTTGCCGTTCGGAACTCGACCCCTTGGGCCAGTTGTTGCAAGGACCTCAGGCGCACTCTGCCGCTGACATGGCTAAATACCTGCACACTCACGAATTTTCTACACGGAGAGCAAGGGCCCAGCGACAAGAGTCCGCCCCACCGCAAGCTCGTAGATGGTTTTGGCAGCAACAGCCATGACCTGCAAACCGCTGCAGAACTCAAGGTTCTCAACATGAATGTGTGGGCATCCCACTTCTCTAACTGGATTGGATCTTCTTCACACAAGCTTCTTAGCATTCATGCACCTTGGGGAAGCGAAAAGGAACAGGCACGCGACAGCGGTGACCTCTGCCAACTCTTGCCGAATTGTAATGGTCTGGCTGACACTTGTTCGCCGGGACGTGCAGGGAAAGGGCAGGGCGCAGCTTTGACGGCCAGCTTGTTGTGCCGTCCCCGTACCTGTGACTTTCTTGAGATATGAGGCAATCATGATTTGAGCCTGTCATCCATGACTGTTTGGATCAGCTCAGGCATGAGCTGTGAACCCCTGTGCCGAATATCAAAGTGCGTTGGCACCTACAAGCCAAATATGATCGGGCGCGTGGAGGCTGACATCGAGACGAGCTTGCAAGGCCGCGAACCTGTGGCGCTACACTTCCTGGTACGCGGACCAATGCCAGGTCAATGCCAGCACCTGTGTCTGTTGGTACTTTCTTGAGGCCACCTTGTGAGATTGCGGAATTTGCTCTTTCAAGCATGTTTTCGCTAGCCCGCGTGTCTCTCATGAGAATGAATGAAGCCTGTAGCCTGCAAGTAAGTCTGCATCAAATTGAGCCATGCATCTATATCCCTATTATGGTTTTGTTGGTCGCAGCAAGGTGGTGTCTTATTATGCAGGTCAGGCGCTTGCCTTAAATTGTGTAAATGTCAAGTCGTGGGGTTCCCAGCAAATGTTCATATTGACCCAGCCAATACGTCGCCTGTCTGGTGCATCTATTTTGATCTCTCCGCAGGATAGCTCAAGACAACCAGGACCCCTGCTGTATTTCACATTGCGGAATGTCCTCCGACTGAGCGTGGCCTGAGTCTCACATCAGGCGGATGCAACATGGACGCCTATCAAGAGGATTCGATTTAGTGCAACAACTGATGGGCTGAGCACCCGAAGTTTTACCAAGTCCTGCCATTATGGGGAACGGCCTCCAAAAACAGCATTTGATGGCCCCATGTGATCCCTCAACGCAACTCAGGATGCAGCGGTTGCACCCACCAGCTGCCACTCGTCGCGTCGACCAGCCTGCATTCGAAAGCAGATGAGTTGCTCAGCTTGAGCTTTGAGGATCAGGCTTTCGTGGTCTGCAGCTCAATCTCCTGAAGCAGCGCGACTGTTGGGAGAACCTGACAAGGGAGTGAAAAGCTATCTTTAGCCAGAACCTGGCACTGTCATGCTGGCTGAGCTGGCAACCCTTCCTTCGCGGCGCGCTGCACGCCGCTGCATCCTGAAATTCGTATTTCTCATATGCTTCTCTTACTCGCCCCTCGATTCCCTCGATCTGAGCTTCTTGCTCTCTCCACTTGTTCACGAGCCGGTCAGCCTCATCGACAACCTTTGGCCAGAATGGTCTGGACATGTCTGGAAGCAATTTTGGCTCTGCCTGATTGACACTTTAGCCCGGCGCTACCCAGTCTAGTTGGCCAAGCGCCCGAAGCCAGATGGGTGAAGTCCTTGTGGTTGCCAAACTCGCGCGGTGCAGTTGCTGTTTCCGTTTCTGTCGAATGGTGCATCGGGTTCCCAGCCGTGGTTCGTCCAGCAGGTCTCGAATGTGCCGAGGGGTTGCGACGACCTGACAACTTCAGCTTCCGGAAGCTTCTGGGCTTACACAAAAAAAAGGTATATACGAGATTATGCTTGTGCACCCGGCATGGGATCTGGTGCAATGGCATCGTAACGGGAACCCTTCTTAAAGATCGTCGTCGAGTGCATCCAAGCTTCTATGTTGCTTGGCTCGGACGTGTTGTCATTGTCGCGCCGCATCAGGGTGACCTGAAGTGCGGTTGTGGTTGCTTGAAGAACTCCAGTCGTGTAAGCTGCTTTGGGTCTTAGCATTCTCTGCTTTGCCAGGTCCGAGCAGAGCTCGTGCAAGAGCCTCAATGCATGGAAAAGAGCACTTTCTACAGTTCTACGTTCAAGGCATTGTGGCTAGGGTCTTTTCTGAGATGACTGCTACTGTCTGCATCTGAAGAGCCTCAGCATGGCAAGAACAGAGATGAATTGAATGCAGCTGCGAATCGGACTTTCACTGATGGCCCTGCAGACTCTTCAGCTAAAGCAATGGAAAATCACCAAGGCTTCATGGTGCAAGATGGCTGTGCAGAACTGCATAGAAAGTTTTAGAACATCAAGAAGCCCGCGAGAGGATACCTGGGTCTGCTGCTGCAGTGGGAACCAAAATTAGAAAGCGAAGACCACGAACTGGTGCCCGGGCGGCCTGCTTCAAGTATCTGATCATAGGGAGTCGACTTGGATCAAGAAAATGTCTGTTTGGACTTTGGCAAGCTTGCATTATTACATCTTTGCTGAGCTTGATGCTGCTGACTTCCACGGCAAGACTTGTGAGCTGGTTGCTTCAGCACCCGTCCCATAGCCACCCAGCCTCTTCCGTGTATCGCTGCAGCAGCGGAAGGAGGAAACACAGCGTTTTGCCAGTTCCAGTGGGTGCATGTAGGCAGCAGGACCTTGTGCAGACAAATGAATCAGGAGTGAAAGTGAGCCTGACGGAGATATAAGTGGTTCCTTTGGTGTCTGGCTCTCCTGCGTAGATCCGTGACATGGCCTCTTGCTGAATCGGTGACGGTTCAAACCTTTGTGCGTCAGATCAGCCAGAACCATAGCATGTTCAACACATTGAGCGAGTTAGCTCAGTCACCAGCTTCCCGTCAGCCATGTCGATCTGTGACTGAAGCCACCTGACATTAATATCTGAACGCTGTGCCAGTGCGAGACCTGTTACGCTACGAAAAGAAGCGTACAATTTTCTGCCGGGGGTTCTCTGCTGCCGCTCCAGTGACTCTGACACCACCCCACTCGAGCTCCTTTCTTCTTTCGAGACCTCCTCTTGGACCTGCAAGTTCATGTAATTCAGGTACGAACGACCGAGCCAGCTTTTCTCAACAATTCGACGCCTTCTCGTCTTGACCGGGGATCAGGCCTGTCCGCACCTCCTCTTGGACCTGCAAGTTCATGCAATTGAGGTAGGAACGACCAAGCCAACAGCTCTCGAAAATTCGGCGCCTTCTCGTGTTGACCGGGGATCAGGCCCGTCCAGACCTCCTCTTGGACCTTTAAGTTCACGTAATTGAGGTACAAACCACCAAGCCAGCAGCTTTCATAAACACGGCACCTTCTCGTCTTGACCAGGGATCAGGTCTGTCCATATGTTCAACATTGCCATGCAATTACAACATTGACAGACACGCACTGCCAGCAAATGCACTATTCTGACGATGGCCAGCACCTTCTCCGCCGATCGTACGCACTTCGCTCTCGGCTTCGCTGCGCGACCTAAAACAGGACTTCGAGCTATTTTCAGAACTCCGATACATGCTGACGCTCCATGAAGTTCCGAGGCTCCAGCTGCACCTGCGACAGCCGCCACCCCACAGGTCAAGCAGCGCGACAATGTGACGTGCAAACCTGCCTTTCAGAGTTCAACAGTTCCGAACATTCTGGGCCAAAGTAGATAGGTGCAGATAGGAAGACCAGCCGGCTGCCATCGTGAGCTGTCGAGGCCTCTATCTGAAGCAGTTACGGACAAGCAGAAAGCAACCCGAGCAACGTGATGCGTTCACCATCAAGGCGCAAAATTGAATCCATCCGTGAAAAACAAAAAGTCCAAGCGCTCCACAGGCAAGACAGGTCTCCTGTCTATGCGCAGAGGGCGAGAGCCTCTGCAGAGCCAAAGCCAGGAAGTGGAAAGTGTATCTTCGCAAGCTCCACTTCACAAATTCCACTGTAAATGACGTTGACACAAGCTTGGCATATGCTGCTGGCGTGATCCTTCCCCGAAAGGCAGCTTCTAAAACTCCACGCCTTGTGACGGCAATGCTGCTAAAACAGGTCCATCCTGCAGCACGGCCTCCAAGTGCCTTAGGAAATGCTGCTGGGCAGTCTGCCAAAAGATGGCAAGCATCATTCAGATACCGCACGATACAGCGGGACCACGGCGTCAGCATGACACATGTTCGCAATTTCCCACATGAGTAGTGTTCTTTTTGGTGGTTAAACCCAGTAAGATTATTTCCTTGTATAAGATACTATACCCCAAAAGGAGGATATAATCTTACTCTATAATGGGTACCATAGTCTTAGTATCCCCAAATAAAATACTACTCACACGCCCGACAGCTCAGGATCTGGCGCCATGGCTCTTCCACTTGGAAAGTACAGGCAGCAGCGGAGTAATGGTTCTTTGGCGGTCTTATGGTGCGCTGTTCTGGTGCTTGAATTGGAAGCACAGCTGTCATGGGATCTTGTTTCAAGTCTGCAGTTGTCTTGCAGGATCCAGCGGCACATGCCAGAGTAAGTCGAGAGCATTCGCATGCGGACTCAAAGGGCAGCGATTCCTGACTCTTCCTGTGGTGCACTTACGGCTTTGACAAAGAAGGTTGAGAAAGATACATTGCAGCCTGAAAGCTCGTTGCTCAGCGTTTTTCCACTAACAACGTTCAAGAGCTTTCTCATGCGGCCTTCATTTTGCTCAGCCACAAAATCTCCATGCCTACAAGCTGTTGCAGCCCTTCGAAAGCTTCTGCGTTGTAGTGGATTTTAAGCCGTCAGCTGGATGCGCAACATGGCTCAGAGCTGCGTCCAAGGCTGCCCAAAACTCTTCCAGATCATCCGTGCCCCAAAGTCCCTTCGACCACCTGCCATGCGGCACGTAGGAAGGTTCGGACGCGCGCAGGCCAATCATTGCTCTGTATGGGACACCTTCGACGGTCCGCCTTGACCACTTTCGAGAGCAAACTCACCTTGCATAATCGCGTCCATTCTTGAAATTGCACCGGTCCTCAATGCGAGCCAGCGGCGATGACAATAGTTGACACGCATGTCCCGCGAGGCCAACGACTACGACCTGGATATCCCGCCAGGTCAAGGTCAAGGTTGACGTCCTTTGTGTCCATGAAGGTGTCATCTGCGTCGACATCACCATTGTCCGCAGCACCAAGTGTAACCCAAACGCCAAGATGCGCGCGCGACTTCAAGAGGTTGGGCTGGTTTCTGTCATCATCTGTCATCGATGGTCATGATCACGGGCGTAGTAATGTCCTCCCCACGAGTCTGTCTTTCCCTCGAAGGTTGGTTCAAATTCAGCTAAGCTAGATGCAGCATCATGTGCATAATTATGGCCAAACAACATCAGCAGCTCCGTCGGCCTCATCTCGAACGCTTCCGGGCCAGCCTTGTGCCTAATACGCATTGCAAGAGGCGCACGCCAAAGCAGTAAACAACCCTCAGGACAATTGAAGGTGCTGGCTTCGCGCATAAGTTCATCTTTCAATGCTCTTCGCTCTTGCAGGAAGCCCTCCAATGGTAGCGCTGGGGCAGGTCCCACACGATCACTTTTGCAAAATGACTTGGAAGACTCCGGCCCAACAAAATCAATTGCACTGCGGGAAACGTCGCCAAACAATAGCATAGCACCCAGAATGCCATCCACGCAATGCAATGGCAGGCCAGAGCTGCGAGGGCTGTGCCTATAGCTGATCAAGTCCAGGAGTGGCAGCTTTGCCAGTCTGTACAACTGCTGCTGCGCTTCATGGACCAAGCGAAACCCCACCGCGCCATGGAGCCCGTCACGCAGCTGGGCCTTCTGAAGCTCCCCGTCTCGTAAAGACTGGTACCAAACAGTTGACTCAAGAAGCCAACGATGAACCTTACATCACCCACACGCACTTTGTTGAAATCCGGCCTTTACAGCCAGTGTTGCCAAGTTGCTAGCCCCTTTGCTGCAGGATTCAACGCTCCTTGAAGCACGGCCACGCCTGTCATGCATCGCTCATCATCGCTCTGCATTTACCGGCGCTGAGATTGAGGCATTTGAGGATCAGCACAGCCTTGCCTTTGCCGCGAAATTCTTCTACTGCACCTGCCGGAAAGCAGCTTCCATGCAGTAAAAGGACTGACTCCCTTTTAATCCAATGCAACACCACACCACCCTGATGGCTCATGTGCGTTAATGCGCAAAGTCAATGCAACAATGCCAGCCGGCACCTTCCCAATCAACTGCAGAGCTCAAAAGCTGGGGAACTCCTGCCAGAGACGGAGCGAAGTCCTGCAGTTTGGCAAGCAAGGCTTCTGAAGTGGGAAGTCTAGTTGCAATACAAGATTAGAGCAGCTGCTGCAATGCAAGAGGCTTCAACACGGTGAATTTGGAGGTCCGGGAGGTGCAGCGCTCTGTTGAAGAATGGCCGAACCTCCATTCGTGTCTGGGACCATCCCAAGACACATTTTCGTCGCAGCAAATTTGCCGGCAGCAGAAACCATTAGGATTCGCAGCTGTGAATGCAAGGTCAAAGTACCGCTCTTGAATGCTTTCAGCCAATTTTGGAAGATTCTCCGAGCCTCTGCGAATTGTTTGTTGACCTCCTCCCGCACAAGCGCTCCCTGCTGAAGCCTGCAGCTGTGTTCAAGCTGCGACAAAGGAAGTCCTTCAGATTTACGTTTTTCAGATCAGGCACTGCTGACCTTGCTGACACTTGCTGGGGTATGTACTCGGAAAAGCGTGCAAGCAGGCTCCCAAATCCGGCAGCAGCCTCCGCATGCCATGAGGCCGTAGGACAACACTTTGCAAATTTGGACACAGCGCTGTCATCAAGGAACAGCTGTCAGCCCATGTTTTAGCTGTTCTTTGGGTGTCAAAGCCGGAAAAGGATGATCCCGTTCTGCATGCGAAGAGATGTGGCGAGGAGGATGGCGCCTGGTGCACCTCATCCGAAACATCAGCACCTGCAAACATGCCATGGCTACATTATGAATTGCTGACTGCTGCAGCTTGAGTCAGCTTGAGCGGAGTTCAAACAAGGATGCTGATTCCTCGGGAAAAGGAACCAACAGTAGTCCGCCGAGGCCGGAGGCCTCAGACGTTCAGATCCAGGACCAGAAGAACAGTAAGTGAACCCATCCCCTACCCCCTCCCAGTGCGCACGATTCGAGGGGGGAAGGCGCGATCGGCTCCGTTTTCACGGGCTTCCCAGGAGGGTGGGGGGAGGTCAGCGTGGTTTTTCAGATTTCCGAACCTTCGTCCGAGGTCCGAAATGCAGAGTCCTCCGCCAAAAACACGATTTTTGGGTCGGTGTGCTGGGGGGGGAGACGGGGGCGGGGGGATGCTCTCTAGCCTCGGCAGGGGGTTGTGCCGAGGCGGTCTCGCGTTAGCGATTAAATTACCTTTTTTGAAACCCACCTGAGGAGATGATGTACTGCAGCTGCGCCACATCGTGAGCCTGACATTGAGACTTCTGCGCACGTAAACATTATCGTGCATGAGACGCCGGCCAGCTTCCCGAAGGAGAAGCCTGTGTTGTCAGTGATGATTTTTCCCTCCATGCCTTGCTTGAGCGATGCTCAATTTGAACTTGGCCACGGCTTTCGGCTTGAAACTCAAACGGCTTATGCATGCCAAAAACAACATACTCCTGCACTCCTTGGTGAGGCCCTTGCTTACAATGAGCCGAGAGGAATTCCCAAGTGATCTGCGCTGCTGGAAGACCCAGTCCTTGGTAAGGGGGATAAGCTGCAAGGGACTGGCGCATTGTATGGGAAGCTGACATCGAAGTTCCACGCGAGGAGGCAACAGCAGCAGCATGCTTTCAGCTTGCGGGGCTCTGTGGACACCGTGCAAAATCAGGATGAAGCAAGGCCAACATTCGGAGGCCACCACTCTTTGACTACGCATGCTTCTGCTGGGATGGCTCAGTTTCTGAATGACAGCATCTTTGGCTGCAGGATTCAAAACGCATGTTAGGCGTCTTGTAAGCTACAGAAACGCATTGACCTGGAATGCCCTCAGAGGCCTCCCAGTCTTTTGCCAGGCCTCGCACAAACATGTCATAACCCTCGCTTTCTGATATGAGCAATGGTGCCAGGTCACCTCGTGGCCATTAACCACAGGTTATTCGACAACATGCGACAACAGACATGTTACATGTTCCTCTCTCCTGCTGTCCAAGATGCTCATTCACATGGCAGTCTGTAATTCTTGTCAAATGCTGTAGATGACCCCTTTTGTCACAAGCAGGACCTGCGATCCTTATTCCACGATGAGTCTCGCAGCGCCAATCAATCCCAAAGCCCTGTGTCCTTTCCTTATTCCCCATGACAAGGGCACTCTCATTGAGAATGGGCATCAAAGTACACTATCCTAGCACCATGTACTATTTCCGGGCCTAAGCAGCCATCATCAAACTTCCAAATCACCTGCCTGCCAGCTTGGAATGAGCAGGATGGGCATGAAGCTCTCCATTGATTTCAGCTGTTCTTTGACATCCTCGCAAGTCACATGCAGGTCCCATGCAACGCAAATCCGTCAATGCGTCTTGCATCCCCCTGGTGCCTTTGCTGTCTGTGTCTTTTTGATGGTTTTGAGTTGATTGGTTGCGCTCTTGAGGCGATCCAATTTCTCTTGTTCCTTGGCGGCGTAGGATGGCACATGGAGTTTGCAAAGACAGCTCTATTTGACTTTCAATGTTTGCAGCTGTGCCTCTGCCAATCTTTTAAGGCGGTCGCGGTAATTGAAGAAGTATCCTTCAACTTTATGAAATAGATTGTTTACAACAACTCCGTGCAAAGCAAGCTGGCGCATCCTATGTCTCGGCCGAAGGCTTCAAGAGGTCCGTCTTCGAGAGGGACAGGTGCCGCGTTGCTCTCTGGAGGGGGAAGGTCATGCTCCCTGCGCGACCGTTTGTAGCAGGGCATGCTGATCACGTGGTCTAAACCCTGTTGACAATAAACCCTAAATAGTAGTTTCCATTCTCTTTTACATTTTCCTTATATAGCCCCACTATACCCTATTATCATATGATAGTTCTAATGTTCTTTTCCATTATCCTTATATGACCCTATATTGTCCAGATGTAAAAGCACAGGAAGCCTCGCCGCGTACTTCTTGATACCGACAAAGGTGTGAGTATGAGGGTAGTCCACAGTCGTGACCATGGGCCCTCTGCAGAAATCCGCTCGGTACGGAATGCCTGGATGGATCCAGCGAGGGCTGGAAGGAGACTGAACAGCGGGATAATGCAAACAACCCAGTTCAACAAAAGAATCTTCATACCATTCACGTGGTGCTGCCAAAAGCTACCTTTGTCAAAGTCCACGGACATGGGGAAGTCGGGTCCCACCTTGACAGTTGCAAATCGCAGCAAGTAACTAACTGCCACCGCAGGCTTGCTGCAAGCTTGCCATGATGGAAAAGTGCGTGCAGTCTTCCATGTCATCACACATCTGGGCAGCCTGCAGGTGACTTCTGGCCAGCGGATAAAAGTGGTAAGATGACAGCAATGCATAGCAATGCCCACACCTCTTCCACCGAGTGCACCCCACGCACGCGTTTCATGAGACGAAGTCTCGGTCCAACGAGCTCTCCCTGTCCCCAGCCTCAGTGCTTCAGCTTGCCAAGCTGCAACACTTTTGCAAGATTACCTGTCTTCTTGCCAAGCTGCAGATAGCGCGAACACCTGGCCTTGGTGAATAAGATGCCTTGCATCTGAGCCATACGGACTGTTTTGGCTCGCGAAAGGAAGGTAAAAAGGCGAAAGGTGCTTGGGCAACGGCCCCTTGATTTTGTACTTTGGGAGACGCTGTCGAAGCTCTTCAACATCTTTGGGGGTCCTTGCGTTGCTGACAGTCCGCATTCTGCTGCCCTGGATGAGAGCCATGCTCCGAACATGCTCACCAACATGTTGCTGCAGAGGTTCCAGATCGCTTTATCCTCGCTTCGAAGCCCTAAAGGCCAGAAAGCAGGGCCTGTTCGGTTGCCTTTGGCATCAAACTCTTGCATGGCCTCCTTTGCAGCAATCTCCCTGGCCTGGTGGCAAGCCCGATCTCACAACGCGTCCCCCCCGAAAGCCCTGGTCTATGTCAAAGACGTTATTCTTTGCTCACTGTCCCGGCGGCCCTCCTTTAGCCAAGCAAAGCCGAGGCAAATCCAAAAGACGTGTAACAGTTTAGCAGCCCCATTCATCGTGTCACTCATTGTTTATGATGGTTTGGAATGTATTGGGGTACTATATAGGGCTATGTATGGATAATGGAAAAGAAAATAGAAACTACATCATTAGACGGTTTAGGGGTTTGGAAGAAATAGTCAAAAGGCCTCTGCTTCGGCAGCTTCCTCAGCTTGCTGCGCCTCCGTTTTGTACGGTTCTGGTCCCGTGCAGCCTCTGCAGCTTCGTTCTGGCTCCGAGAGGCAACTGAAATATCCCCACATGCAACCACATGTGACTTTACATGACTTGACAAGCGTACGCCCGCTGCTAAAAGGAAATATCATCAATAAGTGTCGTGTTGAGCAATGTCTTGACAAGGGGCCATGGCCAAAGGCACACCTGATCTTCTCCACGGTTGGAAATTCCCATGGAGGAGAAAAATTATTTGCGGCCAGGACCGCCCCGGCCACATCCCGGTCATACTCCCAGGAGTGAGTTGGCATTGAGGGAGATCAGCTATCGAGGGCAGCTAACGCAAAGGCGCCCACTTCCCACTCGGACATCAATGCCATGGCTTTTCAAGTTCCAGCGTGCAATCTTATCGTCAGGAATAAGGTGGCGGACCGACCTAAAATTTGCCTGATGATATGGGGAGACCACACCAGCTTCTCTCTGCATGAGTGATTGCAATGTGTTGCAATGTGGCTTCTGAGCTGTGAATAGACAACGTGCAGAACTCACAGCAGAACAAGCTGAGCGTTTACTTCACACGCTGAGACGCCGACCAACCACTCCTGCAGCTTCTTCCACTTGGAGCGCCGGAGCAGGTATGCACCTTCGAAGCATTAACTTGTGGCAGGCCGCTTTCATAGTTTGGCAGAAGCCGATGTCTAAAGTCACGCCAAGGTCTTGGCTGAACTGAAGATTACCTGCAGATTGAGCTAACAGCTGATGCTCTGGATAGCCAAACAAGCTACACGAGCGGATCTAAAAAATAGTCTTGAACATTTCCGTGTGGCGACGTCATCCAATGAGGCACATGTAATGCGTATGGCAATCTGCAGAGCCACTCACAGTGCCGTCAGTACGACACCACATGTTCACACCCAAACATCAAGCAACAAAACAAGCAGTCGTAACTGCAAGACAAAGGATGGTTAGAGAATGCTGTGAAGTCACGCCCGGCCAACCCCCCAAACCCCCCGTTCCCTGGCGCTAAAAGCTAGAATGGTCAGGTGGCACTCCCGCAGAGTTGTCTCCTGAAATGCATCGCCCCTGCGGAGCAAGCGATCCAAGCCTTGAAGCTCAAGGCTCAGAAGAACTCATAAGCCTTGACAGACTACAAGGACCACACGCCAACAAGTCATTGAAGCCAGGAAACTGCAGGTCTGGAAGCTTTGCTCCACAGTGCGCTTGTTCGCGGCAAACTCCACCAACGCTTGCGAGGTGTAAGTGTTGCTGTCCTGCACATGGCGTGACAGATACAGCTGTGGTGGCCAACAGACCCTTTTGTGCGCTCCTCAGCTCCAGTCGGCCCAGACCAACCTGCGTTGACAGCTTGCTGAGTCAGCATGGCAGTAGTGGGCGTGCACCAGCATAGACAGCAGTGCTGGCAAGGTGCTAGTGTTCGTCTCGCAGTAGAAGACTCCGGGATCCGTGACTGGAAAGATTGCTGTGCTCCCGGCGTGGCGGCAGCAATTTTCAGTCCCCGACTCCACGCTTCGACTGAATCTCTCGCACACAGATACACCACAATTACATGGCAAATCCCATGGGACCCCTGTGAAGTACTGCAGCTTCTCACCCCATCCCCAAAACGGCCAGCAGCAGCAAATGCCAACCGGCCCACATCCTCTGGTGAAGCTGTTGGACTCACACAGAACCTCTGCACCAAACTCTTCCACATAAGGTTCATCCAAACATGCCATGGCGCCAACCAGCGGCTCTTGATAGGAACAACTAAAGACATGTTCTGCATTCATCCGAAGCCCAAAGGACCCACTGCGCAGACCATCACGCAGCTGTCGGATGTCTTCACCGACATGAAGAACTTGCCCACCAAATGCCGCCCTCCTTTGACCTTGAGCTTCAAGGATTTCCTGCCGCAAGAGACCGCTTCGTTGTAATTCGGCCACTGATGGCAGCTGAGATTTCGAAAGGTCGCGGAAGCGTGGCTCGCGGGCGATGCCTGCTTCGATGGCGTAGGGCCTATGTCAGCTGTCAGGCAAGAGCGGCCTAGAACTGCCTAAAGATCTACTTTAGGCGGTTTGGAACCAAGCCAATTTCGATTTCTGCCAAGGAACTTCACACGTGAATACACCTCATAGAGGCCATTGGCATGTGCAAAATAATCGTATGTGCACCCTGGCTCATCAAGCATCGTTTCGCTCAGGTTATAGATGTTATAGGCAGGGCTGTTGGCGCAGTTCATACGGTCTGGTAGTACCACGCGTCGCCGAAGATATGCCCCCATCTCGAGAGCAGCGATAAGTACTTCAAAATCCTCTGACAGATTCAGGCCCCGTGGATGCTCATACACCAGGAAAGAGGTTGTGTCGTTGAAGCGCTCGTCCCAGTCGTCCACATACCACAGATTTCTGTCACCTTTCACCACATGGAAACTTCCGAGGCAAATGTCACACAGCGCAAGAGACATATGTTGCCTTCCGAGGCGCGCAGGAAGTACATCTTCGGATCGACCCCATTAACATGAACGATAGCAGGCGGCCCACCTTTTCCAGCACAGCTTTTAAGCTTGTAGGCCTCGCAGGTTTCATCATACACTCTGCTTTGAGATGCCTTTGACTTAGCGTTGCCTTGCGCCAGAAGTAGTTCATGCCGTGCGAAATGCACACCTGAGCAAGTGGGCAGGGCCCCACCCGCTTCTCAAGCCCAAGAGTTTGGACAGGAGGCATGGAAAGCTGGACAATCTGAAGTCCACAACACCCCAAACCAAGAGAATGTCTCTTGAATCAGTATACGGCTCAAGGCTATTGGCCATACGCAGTACATCAGAAGTCAGGGAGCAGGATCGAGAAGGCGCAGGCTGATCTTCTCGCCGGACCCTCTCGGGAAATCCCACGTCTCTTTTGGAGTAAAACGTCTGGTTCTGCCCTGCCAGTCTAGTCCGCGAAATGTGTTGTTCTCATAGTGGCTGACAACCTGTCCGGAAACGCAAATCCCACATTCAGGTGTAATGCCTACATTTACTGCAAAACAAGCATGCAGATGAGAAGTCTACATGGCTGCGGGGGTGGCTAGATGAGTGGCTTATGTTTGAAACTCACGTGTCTGGCACGGACCTCGGGCGGGTTCATTTCCATCTTGCTCATGACAAACTTGTTGAACACCCGCTGATCCATTCCATCGCGAAGTGTTGGCCCCTCCTGTGCATAGTAGTGGGCGTCAATAAACTCCACCAGAAAAGCCTTATCAAGCAAGGGGCATGCTGGGCAAAATCGGTCTAGACTGCATGGTTGCGAGCCAACGTGAAATCACGGCAGCTCCGCAAGAACTTTATGAAGGGAACCTTCTTCTGAAGCTCTTACGTGCAACAAGCAGTTGTGCAGAAGGCCGGGCGAAGAGGAATCCGGTGTTTATGTGCTCCGCAGGCCGCAACCATGTTGCCCAAAGCTGCTCAGCAGGGAAGAAGTGGTCCGTCATTGCCTCTAAATCTGAGTCAAAGAAGAAGTGCTGGAAGGGGTTCGCCAGAAAAACGATATCAGAATCTACCACAAGGATCTCTAGCCCCAGCGAAATGCAGGTGGTTTGAATGAGCCATCGCATCTTCCAAATGTCATCTTGCAAGTCATGCGACCCCTGATTGAGAACTACATTGAACTTGGATGCTTCCGCACGTCGAACAGCATCTGCATCAAGCGCGACAAATACAAAGATTCGCTCCAGCTCTGGCGTGTTCCTGCGAATAGAAAGCGCCAGGTTGTGTGCAATGGACCACCGTTTGGGTCCGCCTGTAGTCCATGAGACTATGAGACGTCCTTCTGGCCCAGCGATCTGCAGCAATCTCTCTGTGTCCACCTGCAAGGTGTACCGTCGCGGTAGCTCCTCATCTAAGCTGTTGTCAAAGTAGCTCGGCCTTGTGACAGCCAGCTTCTGACCGGATCTGGAACGCGTCGTTTCCATGGCTTCCGCAGCTTCCTTATTTTCGAAGCCGGCTGCCCAAATATCCCGAATCCACTTAGACAGGAGGTCCTGCTTGCTCAAACCATCAAAGCGAGACATCGCAGTGAACCGCGCAGAGCTCTTCTTTGGAACATGCAGGACGAGGTCCGCGAGCGCCGAATGGCATAACAAAATGGCCAAAGAAATTTCCATGGCCCTCCATGTGCTTGCGAGCAGCCACGGTGTGCAGCCCTGCAGCGCGCCCAGTCTGCCAAGGCTTGAGCATTTAGGCGCACAACTTCAGGGAGGCCAAATCAGCATGGAGAAAAGCGCTGAAATTTATACCTTCACAACCGGCGCGTAATACCGTGGCAACACCCAGTCATACCCAATCCCTTCAGTCCTTACGTGTGCCGTTGGGGGGAGGGATTAGCTACTGATATAACATGCCAAATCCTCGAAGAACTGTCCTTTGCATCCGGGAAAACCTGCAGAGCCCCATCAATGTTAAGAGCTAAAGTATCAACTTGACTAGACGGTGCCTGCGGACAGCAAACAAAAGAAAAGGCACGACAGTGTTACAGTAGCGGCCCTGGGATCCGCTGCCGACTTTGCCCCACGTTCGAACGCTTTTTGTGTTTTTTTCTGTTCTTGATCGTCTTTCATGTGGACCAAGTGTGTTTAGCCTGCCAGTGTATCCAACGTCGGCCAGTTTCGGTGATATTGGACGTCGCACGCGGTTTCCGACCTTTTGCCTGTCCAGTATCAGAAGCGCATGAAGATGCAAAACCTTCACGTCGTCCTACGCTAAACGGTGTTTTCATCTTTTCGTACACATGACATATGATCTTCGCAGCAGGCTAACGATGTCGTGACCTTGTGAATGTACGCTGACCAGGTATCAAACGATGTTTGGACGCTTCCATCTCACAAACGGGCTATTCCATTGGGATGAGTTTTACTGTAGGATTTAAAGGGATATATATATGCACCTGATATCAAAATTCATCTGCCAGCTGAGGTTCTTCGCATAGCATGAAAAATTAAATGCTAGAGAAGTCGCCGCCGCGGATGCTGACTCTGCACGTGCATCCCCTGCTGCTGCTGCTGCTGCTACTACTGCTGCTTGTTGTTGTGCTCCAGGTTTTTGTGGGCGGGTAATCTAGGGTCGTATTTCATCGGGATAGGGTCTTATTTTAGGGGCCTAGTCTCCTTTAGAATGGGAGCATCCCAGACAAAATAGATCGACCATGAGCAGAACAAGGCCGCATGCGAAGGCACAACACGGCCAGGGCCAGTTCCATCCGGGGTATGTGCTGCGTAGCGAGTAGCGAAAGACGTGATGATACAGCCTCTAACGCGGTAGTAGTAGAACCTGATAGAGCACAACTGACACAGGGCGCGCTCAAAGTTTCCTCTTTGCTGCGTCCGTACAACGCGAAAGCCTCCTACCTAATGCCAGGCAGAAGGCTGCCTAAGCTAGGCTCCTGGCTTCAACTCCGATCGCGACCATAATTCCAGCGTAGAGCTAAGAAGTGTTGGCTCACGTCATTTGGTCGGATGGGAGGGCTGAATTCGGATCACATGCGTCTCGGCGTGCTATTTGCCTCAGCTGATCTCATGTGGCAACAGGCAACAGACACTGAACGCCCAAACAGGGACGCTCGCGGCTCGGGCAAGGCTTTGACGTTACAGTGGGAGTTGAGTTGCAGTCAAGTTGCGGCCCTTCTTCTTGCCACCCTTTGGGGGCAAGGCGCCAGCACTCTTCAGAAGGTCGGCCTGAACGTCTGAAATTGGCGCGGATAGGGCAGCAAAGTGTCGCAGCAAACCTGAGGTTGGTACAACCTCTCGGAAGCCGTTCTTTTCTGAAACAGATAATGGGCTTTCACCCTTGCCATTGGCCTGCAAGAAAGTTTCTGGCATGCCATGAACTGTCCAAGAAATGGAAGGCCCATAGTCCGGGCCTGGTTCACGTCCGCATTGCCCACGATGAGAGCTTTAGCCACTCCCGGCAGATCATTCACTGCGGCCATCAACATGGCAGACTGGCCTTTCCTCAGACAAGCTTCAACTGTCCATCCACGTGAGTTCATCAGGATGATGATGACTTCTGGGAGCTCGACGCAGTAGCCATATTGACTTGAGCTTTGGCATCCAGCAGCTGTTTCACTGCATGAGGACGGTCCTGTCATTCCAGACTTGTAACCCTGAAGCAGATCTATATGAAATGCGTGGAGCTCAGATTCATGCATATGCGCAGACGATGATCAGGGGGCTCAGACCCTCCACTGACTGTACCTAAGCTTGTGGCAAAGGTAGTCACAGGAGATGCTGACCTGTTCTTGGGGTAAGGGCGTTAGCATCAGCCTTGTGGAGCAGCAGCAGTTCCAACCTTGGTCGTGCCCGAATGTGCCGCACAGCCGTCATGCTTCTGCCTGCTTCCACAATCTTGGACCGGCACGTGGACTTCTTGCCTATCGCACCTTCAATGTGAACCTCAGCCAAACACGCTCGTCTTATTATAGCTTTTGCTACAATCACCTGTGTGGATCTGTGTGGAATGGCGGGTGCAGTAGGACTTTGCCAGCTTGGCCTTTGCTGTCGCCTTCACCTAGTCCCGTGCGCCTTTGAATGAGCCGTCTCTGTTCTTGCTAATTGCAGCGAGTGGCCCGCTGCAGCATGGTCTCGGCAATTGGTTTCCTACATAATTTCAGTACAATATAACAACAACTACCTGCCGCAAAGGACGTCTGTTCTTCTGCGAGTATATCGTTTGTAGATCAAGTCTTTGCTCCTTGCACCTGCCACACGAAACTTCTTCAGCTGGATTTCAGATGAATTCCAGATTTGCTTCCGCGGAGCTTCAGTCCTTCCTACCCATCGCAATGTTGTCGACCTGCTGAATGGCCCATGCTTACCGTTAGGTGCCACCTCCTTGGAAGGCCTTGAAAGAAAGGACTGGCCTGCTTGAGCTGCCCTTCACTTCTGACACCCAGCCTAGCACCTGTCCTCCTCAGAATCGGTGAGTCCAGAGCAAGTACCATGGGTTTAGCATGGTGGGCGCGAGGCCAGCAACACAGCAAAAAAAGTGCACGCAGTCGCCTATGACATCCAAAATCTGCCAGTACCCAGTACCCACTACCCAGAGCCTTCTGTGCTGTTTTGCTCAGGTCATCAGTTTCTCATATTTTCTATTTTCTCATTCTCCAAAAGGCCTTCTAAGCAAGGTAGGGTGAGCGAGAGGCGTGAGGGTTGAGATGTTGGCAATTTACATCCCCAACCCGGCGGCCCGGAGGTGTGAGCCTTCTCTGGCCACGCAAGTGACAGTGCAGGTGGATTGTGGCGAAAAGATCCTCCTGCTCCTGGGTGGGGTCTTGCCAGAGTCTTGCCGCATGCTTGCATGAAGGCAACATCCTTGAAGCGCTGAATTTCAGCAGAAACAAATTAACTTAACACAAACAAATCGAGATCTGAGCATTTGTCCCATCCTCTCCAGAGAGAGAGAGGGAGAGAGAGCAAAAGCACCCCCTCCCATTCCATCCTCTTACGATAAGAGTCTTATCTCAGCCCAGTCCCCGTCCCTTTGTCCCAGCATCAGGACAAGCAGCGTCCGGGGAGCTGTTACACGCCCAATGTTTGTGATGCGCAGCCATGAAGTGTCAGAATGCGACGCTGCATCGGGGCAGGGACCTTTCGCTCATTGAGCTCCGGCCTCACACCTGAAGAGCTAATTTCAGCTGCTAGCCGTTGGAGTGTACTTCCCTCAGCACATCACATGCTGTATGAGATTCTGACTGTCGCGCGCAGACGTAGGGGAGTTCACGGCATACCTGCCAATGGAGTGAATCACAACAGGCAAAAACAAGAGCCCCTACCCCGTGCAGGAAACGCGGCTGCAGAACATCAGCGGGGTCCAGCCCTCGTTGTCTGCCACGTTTACTATGGACTTCCTCGCGCTTCCATCCAAGCATTGTAGAGGTATCTCCAACGACTCTAATGCATCTGACAAGTTTAGCGTATTGTTGGTGCAACGCAGGACCGCTGTCCTCGACAGGAGGTGCGCTACAATCTCTACTTCGCACCTCAGCTAAAACAAGAATCTTGTAAACTGAAAGGCATACTCACCTGAAAGGCAGAGTCAGTGGTGTTCGACCCAGCAGCTGGTGCGCAGCTGCATGAAGGGGCGTGCTTCCATCAGTATTTGTCTGATCGAGACGAGCCTTCGCATAATTACATGGGCCTTGACCCCAAATTTCTTCTGAGGCCTAACTCGTCTCCTGCCTGCTTTGCCAGCAACTCCTCCACCACTTCCTTGTGGCCGCGCTCGGCAGCCAGCGACAACCTGCTGCCCACGAGACTGCGAGACATTTGCTTAAAAGCCGTGAGTATGCTCAGGGCAGAACGGCGTCTTACCGCTAGAGCTGGCAGCCTCCTCGATGCTGGCCCGGGCCTTGCCCAGACACAAAATCATCTGGCGGTTGTTCAAATTTATTCTTGTTGGCCAACTTTGCGAAGCGTAATCCTTTAAGGTCAATTTCCGGGGTGCAGTGTGGGATACTCTTGAGGCTTTGCAGACAGGCCCTGGCCTTCTTGACAGCTCCACCTGGATTGATGATTTGTCGTTCGATCTTGTGGGTAGTGACCCTTTGAAATTGGCGAAGTGGGCTGTTCTGTTGTATGAGGGCCTGAACCATCACATTGAAAGCATAGATCTGAGTGCTTCAGTTAAGAAATCTGGCGTTCTGGTGTCGGCTGCATTGTCAAGCCGCACCTGATACCGAACGTAAGGCGGGTGTCAAATACACTGCTGTTTGCATTGCCCTCAAGGACTTGGGTGTCCAGACAACGTTGCATCGTTTCCGTCGCACTGGAGTTCAACGGTCTAGGATGGCCAAGGGTTTGCAGAGGGCTTCTAAGTTGTGGGCCATTAATGCAGCTCATTAAAGGCCATGTCATGCCAACTGCAACCTGGGGTCATCAGGTGAATGGCCTAGCCAAAACCAGTTGCACTCTTTCCGAGTCCAACTGGCCAAACGCGGGCACATCAGTAAGAAATTGGGATGTTTACAAACTGCTTACAGGTGTTGCATCAGCAAGGATGGTGATCCCCAAATTGCGTTGCCGTTGCAGCAGATCACTACTTGGTTGCAAATTTTGGTTGATTCGCCGGAGAAATCGGTTGAGCTTGTTGCAAAGGCTTGGCGTGCACAAGTTGGTCATTTGTTTGAGTCCTCTTTGCACTTGTCATACGTCATGGGCCCTTTGAGTGCTTGCAATTTGTCTTGAAAGACCTTGGTTGGACGTGTTCTGACTTGCTTACTTGGAAGAGCCCAGGTGGGCAAATATGGGAAATAGAGCGTGATAATCCTTTGATGGTTGGCCCCCTGCTTGAACATTGATCAGCAAGAAACCCACCTTTGGCGTCGAGCTAGCAAGCATCAAGGAGGCGGTGGGCTTGCTGGGGGCAGTGACCTCACTGTTGCTAAGCCACATTTGGCGTCCCTGCTGAAAGGTCAGAAGCTTAAAGAACACAACCTGTTGCTTCATGTTTTGCAAGGTACCCTGGCCACGAGCGACACTGGTGTTGAGGTGACATGTCCTGGATGTGGTATTGAAATGCCCACACTCTTACACAAGCTTTGGTTGTGCCCGGCTGTTGTTGAGGCGGTTGGTCCTTGCCATCCGGATTGGCTTCCTCATTTGGAGGACCTGGTGACCAGTCCCAGCAGTGTCTCTGGTTGCAGAGCCTCCGCCCTCAATTGCCGAGCTGCCGGCGAAACATTTTGTGGCCGAGGATGCTGAAGGTTTGGGGAGTGCCATAGGCACTGGCATTTGGCGCGATTTGCAGCCGGTCGACACTACGGGCCTCCTTTCCGGCACTGATGGATCTGGAGGTCCCTTATCGGCTAACAAAATGCTGCGGCTTTGTGATTGGGCTGCTGTTGCGCATCATGTGGTAGGAACTTTGCGGGGCCCTTTGCCTGGTTGTAAGCAAACTGTGCCTCTGGCAGAGGCCTACGCGATGAGCATGATTTTCAGGCTCACTCAAGGGCCCCTCAGTTTCTGCTCCGATTCACTTGCTTGTGTGAAGCGGATTAGGAAGCTTCGATCGCGGTCTCATTTTGTTGTGGGGAGACGCAGTAATTCCGAACTTTGGTTGCAGCTTAAACGTCAGGTCCAGGATAGGGAGTTTCGGGCTTTTTGGGTGCCATCTCACCAGGCTAGTGCCGTTGTTGGTAAGCTTTGGCAGTTTGAAGCCAACAAAGTTGCGGATTTGCTTGCTGGTGAAGTTGCTGAAGGGCGTGCTAAGGCTGCCCTGCTGGATGTTCGCCGCGGCATTCAGGAAGTTCTGTACCGCCAATGTTGACTTGTTCAGGAGGCTCTTGTTGCTAGGTACGCCTTCTGGCACTCCAAGATGGATGGCAAACTTATTCCTAGGATGCAGGGTCCCAAACTCCCAACCCACGCGGAAATCGTCATGCATTCCAATGTCACGAGCACCCGTCATGGTTTCCATCCCTGTAGGCAGGGTGTAGCTGCTGCTGCCAGGTGTGTACGCTGCGGCTTGCTAATTAGCAGGCTAGTTGGAGGAGGGACAGGTTGACTCAGGTCATGTATTTCCCTTGCCCGTACGTGGGGGTATCATTTCATTCTGTCGGGTATCCACTCCTCCCATCAGCCTGCAGTTGAGGGCAATAGCGTGAGATGCAGGAGCTGCAAGCGCAGCCAGAAGGTCCGCAGTCTTCTTACCCTCAACAAGTTCCGGACAGGATGTACAGGATCTAGGAGATGAAAGGTCACTCGGCTTCGCCATGTCTGTATTGTCAAAAAACTTAACGTGTTCTTTCGCAAAACATTGGCGGAGCCGATTTCAACATGTGGGTCGACTTGGGGTCAACTTGAATACCAGCATTTGAAGGACCTAGTTGTATCAAATTCTAGACTGAGGCCTTTGAATGGGAGTTTCCAGACATTTGTAGGGGCCCTTTGTGGGCGGGGGTTCTACTTCATCTTAATTTACTGAACGACAATGCTGTCACAGATCTTGCGCGAAAAAAGTGTAATCCTTTAGCGTCTCTTTTCGTGAAACTTTCGCGAGTCCTTCAAACCATCTGAAATGTAGAAACCACAGACCTTGGGAACAACCCTTCCTAGTCTTCTGCTTTTTCCTCCAATGTTTGCCTCCAGCAAGATCTTGACGATCTGCAGGTGGCCCTTGATACACGCCTGATCGTCGTGGAACTTGATAAAGTTGTGCTAATTATATGCGGTCTTGTGCAGCGTGGCTCAGTCCCGTGCCCAGGTGAGCGCGTGATATCCATCGCCTGATCTGATGGAGAAGGATGGGCCGCCGTCTTCACTCGCTCTGGACCACTGGGCGACCAGCCATCTTTGGCAAAGCAGTCGGCCTGTCTTCTGCTGCTCAGGTTCTGATGCAAATGCCGCAAGTGGGAGGGGGAATGATGTGAGACGAGGAGCTCTGTGTCGCAGCAGCCAGGAGACGGTGCTTGGCATGTTCCGAGTGGTTGCCTCTCCATGAGCTTTGTAGCTTCGGAGACGAAAGCTTCCTCATGAATCCGCAGTTCAGCTGCGGGAAAGCTCAGCTTCAAACAATGTGCAACGCGGTGGCACCTGTCTCATCCTTGCACTGTTGACAGTGTGTTTGTGCCCCACATTGCCTGTTCACAGCTGCAAATTGCTGAGGTCTAAGCTCTTGCTTCCAAGTTTGCCTGTCACGGCATGCCTAGAACCCTGAAAGGTTCTCTGAGCGGCATGTGCAGCGGCGCCTTCTGCTTGATCAGGTGCTCTAAGGTAACCTCGCAAGATTGAATGGCAAAGAGCTCAACTCAGATTTGGCAACCGGCTCCCCACCTGATCCTCCATGTACACAGCCTGAGAATCAAGGCAGCACTTCTCCACGAGTCACAATCTCCTTTTCTTCGCAGCTCTTCTGCCTGCAGAAGCATCTGCCCCATTCGCTCTGCCTACAAGCAATCAAGCGCACAATGCGCGCACTTCAAGGACTGAGTGACACAGGGGCTGCCACAGATGGATTCCAGCGGAATTGCTCCCCCATCTCCGCCTCGGCTTTGCAGCCGTTACTTCAGGGCTGACAGTAGGCCGGTGGCCACAGTCAAACGGTTTTGCTGTGGCCTGCGCATCAGGATGCCGATGCGAGCTGGAGAAGTGTAGTGAAGGCCAAGCCAGCTTTGCAGTTAAAGGTACTGAGGTGGGTGTCTTCATGCGTTGCATTCGAAGTCGCACCAACTATGAATCACTTTATGTGAACCGGCTGTTTGATTCATGGCATGTCTTGAAGCTAATGCTGCAGCCAGCCACCACAGTTTGGGCCAACCTGTGTACTGTCTTCTACTGTGAAGGCAAAGTGTTGGCAACGCGAACTCTCAATTTTAGGGCAGCAGGACAACATCACGCTCTCCGAAGCTGCGGCTGAAGACGTTGCCTGCAAAGATATTATTTGCAAATTCATGCCCCATGACCCTCAACTGCAGTCCGGCCTCCGAATCTGTAGCGGATGTGCAAAACAGGATCTGCGCTGTCCTCGTTGAGCGTGGTGTGGGACTTTGCAAAACAAATTGCCACATTGCCACAATCTGTAGTGCAGCAGGGCTGCCTCCTGGCACTGCCCGAAGCCAAGAAGCGTCGACTTTGGCGCGCTCTGAGCGGCAAGGCTTCTACGTGCTTATGACTTTTTGTATGCCACGCTGCTTCTGCGCTTGTTGCCATTCCGCAGCTGAGATGGTAACACTGATCTGAAGGCGGGAGTCGCGAACTTTGGCCATCAAACAATTTGTGACATCCTCATGGAGCTTCGAAAACTCATGAACTGCGCCACCGTGCAGACTGGACAACTTGCAGAGACAACTTGCAGATGCCTGAGGTTATGTCAATCACACCTCGAGCCTGTGAGAGACCCTGGTTTGACCTGAGCATTGCACACACTCCCAGCGAGATCCCAATATCAAACGGCCTTGATCGCTGGGGCCAAGGCATACCATTCTGCAATGCGGATCCAGGGCCATAATGTGCAGCCAATATGACCAGGCCGTTGATGTCCTGCAGCCATCTTACTGAAGCTTCCACTTGAAGTAGACAATGCTGAGGCGGTTTCTCCGGCCTCCTCGTCCTTCCGGCGACGTGCTGCCTCACCCGCTAGGAACGCCCGTTGATGACCGTTCTCTGCCTGCACGGAGTTGCGGTAAAGCTCAGCATCCGAAATGCAATGCAAGTTCAGGTTCGGATATAGCCAAGTATCATTCCAAAATCCCAGAAGGCATGCGTGCAGATGCGTGCAGGTGCGTGCAGATGCGTGCAGATGCGTGCGGAGTGGGGAAGACCGCGGGCAACTCTGGGAGCCTGCTGAGCATCCTCCGTGCAGGACGCCTTCGGCGTGTTGCTCTTGGGCGCTGCCCACACCTGAGCCGGGGACCACCACGCAGCCCAGACTTAGTGTCAGGGTTTAAGTTGCCGGCTTTGGAAATTTGCTTGGAGACCAAGCCGATGCCAGTGTGCAACAGCCGCAGCAGGAAAGGCGGCGCCTCCACAAAATGCGCATTTTTTTGGAGATCAAAAAGCTTAAGGCTTAGGGCCCTGGCAGCCCAAAACAGCACTGCCAGGCCGAGCTCAGTGGCTGGGACAGGGCCAGATGCCTCCAGACAACTCTGTGCAGCACACAGCCGTCTGAAGCACAAAGAGCTCTGCATGCAGCAACGTTCTCTAGCTTTGCACGCAGGCCTCTGACCACAACTCCAGTGGCAGCACAAAGCGCAAACCGCACCTGCATTCGCCGCACTCGCAGAGTCAGTAGTCTGCACCGCTCGCAGGCTTTGCTCAAAGCCAACCTGTAGAAGGTGAGCCGCAGCGCCAGGCCGTGGGCCCGAACCTGGTGAACGCTCGAGCCAACACTCGTGAGAAAAGGAAAGCGTCCATTGTTCCTGGCAGCATTCGTATTCTACAAAGCCAGTGCCGGCCAGCAGCGTGCAAAGCCCAGTGCAGCTTCGTCAAGGCATCTGCGCTGGCCTGCAGCTCAAGTGACATGGCTCTGATCTTGACCGAGAGCTGATGCGCTACCGTTACATCCGAAAGTGGCCTTTGTGCATATAAACTGCAGTGCAGCGCCCTGCCGGGAGAGCGTAGGCGAAACCTTCATGGAGAAGCCTGCTTGGTCTGCACTTGTCAGGATACAAACACGCCTGAGCGATTTTGCAAAATCAACATGGCGTGCCTTTGACAGGCTTGTATTTGAATGTACAGCCTCACCCAGCGAGAGTTCTGCAAGAGTGGTCTGACAAGAGAGCCTCTTAAAGCTTAGGCTCTGGCCGAGCTCACCAGCTCCAGGCTGCAGTTCAACAAACATCTTGGCCTTGAGATTACGCATTAAATCCACCAAGTTGTGGACTGTTTGAATAAGCTGGCCATTCCAAACTATGGCCATGGCACTGTGCCCACAAGAGAGGCTGGTCTTGACCAAGTTGAGGCTTAAGCTGGGACTCAGCTTCGCAACATGCAATGTGATCTCGGGGCACGCATGCAGCGGCGCTCAGCGCCGTGCTCGGAGGAAAATGTTCCAGTAAGACCTGTATGCAGGCTCAAATAAAATTTCATCAAGTGCGTGTACACGCACACTGCATGCCTCCGCGCAGAGTTCCTTGGCTCAGTGCTCATTCCTCTTCACCACCAGTTATTGAAAACTCCTACCAGCACTCACTCTGAGTCTCGTCTTGCCTGCGCTCGTTACCATTTCACTGTGGGCACTGCCTTCTGTGCACCCTTTAGTTTTCGCAGCGTCTCACTCGATACACCTAAAATGCCTTGACAGCAATGTCACCATAATTCAAGGTGTAATGTGGGCTCCAACTAAGCCCAACTCACTGTTGGTTACTGGGTTCTGGCACACAGCCACTTAGCTGACTACACTGCTGTCCGCTGTTCTTCTGAATCAAGCTTCTTCCCAGAAGCTGCAAGCGACGCTACCCTGTTCCGAACCCGTTGGTGAGAAGCTGCTGGGCCAAGCTCGCTGCATGTTGCTAATCTCTACTCTGAGGTCCCCAAACACAGGCTCTCAGTTCCACGATGCTTCGCTAAAACGTCTGCTTGCCTCGCTGCTTCCTCTGCGGTGCTAACTGAGCGATTACATACACTGCCACCTGCTAAGTCCGTTAGACCTTCCTTGCTCATGCCAGCCAGTGATCATGCCTATCGCCGGCTTATGCCAATATCGAATGATGTCAAATGTGCCTACTAAACTTCCACATGACATCCAAATGTGCTTGCCTGCCCTTTGCCACCCACCCTCCTTTGAAGGGAACACTGCTCGCTTACCGAAGCTCCAGGCAATTTCTTTCAGATCTGGGCCCCTTTAAACTTCACTGTCCCGAATATAAGTAGTGGCACCTGGCATGCTCTGTCATTTGAAGCTATGCATCAACAAGATCAACAAGGCAACCGCTTCTCTGTCCCGGTGTCTTGTGCCGCAGAGGTGCGGGTCAGCCACGGGCTGAAGTTCAGCGCAAGGTACCGCCCATCTCGCGAAAAACCCAATTGCTGCCGAACCTGTAGTTGGTCACGGCTTCACTGGTGGAGGAAAAGCGAGTTCTCCGAGCAACGTGCTGTACAATGCGGAGAGAGCGATCGCACCACGGACAGCTCAGCATCCGCTGATGAGCCGGTGACCTGGGTGGCATTACTTTGATCAAATTTCATAGTATCTTCTCCGATAGCCTGCAAGAATTAACCCCTTCAGCATCCGGCATTACAGGAAGCGCGTATATTGGTGCCTGGAGCAACCTCGCGGTGCAGACTGAAGCGAAATTGACTCTTACGAATGTCATCAAGAAGTCTAGAGGAGAATTGAGCAAGGCGCTGTGGTGCTTGCCGCAAGCATGAGTTTGGCGGCGCCCGCTCCGCTGCTCGACTGAACATGGGAAGCCTAAAGGTGCCAGATGTTGAATAATTCAGGTATCTGTCTGGCTATCAAGCCAGCTTTGTAAAGGCTCCGGCGCACCCCACTGACAGGCGAAACCGCTCCTGCAGTGAGACTGGAGCAGCCGCTATGGGACAGCGTCCGCTCTCTCAGCTGCCAACTGACAGATGAATCTGCACCGAGTGAGACAGCGCTGTGTACTGCAAGCGGAACCGACCTAGTAATGACATTGATGAGGCTGGGAATAGCGTTGGCTAGCTGCCCCGAGGCGACAACGTTTCAAAGGCGTACCGGGTTTCGCAGTTGCAGCAACAGACAGTAGAAAGGAGCCTGATCATGTTGCAACATCTAACATGCCTAACTGAATCCCTCAGATTTGAATTTCCCTGCAGTGAGGTCTGGACCATTTAGGCTTAGAAGCCGTTGTGCTCGCAGTTCCTTGCTGGCAGCAATCATCAGCCGCAATAATTCCAAATGGCAGATCTTGCGTCTCCTCGTGCTTCCGCACCAATCTTTGTACGCGGACTTCCAGGTCCTGGTACGTAATTTCTGCGGCGGATTATAGACATTGCGCTTGACACCTCGCTTTCCCTTTTAGCCCCCATCTTCACATCTGCATATTTTGCAACCCTCCAGCATGCCGCACTGAGCAGGTCAGGGCACTAACACGTCAGCTAGCGCTCAACACTCTAGCATAAAGCGTGTGCCGTCCGCCACATCACTGGAAAAGATAAACATCTGCACATGATAACATAATTTGGCGGGGAGGGTGCTCCAGACTGTTTTCGTTGCATGTGGTGGCTTTACACATGCATGCATGTTCAAGGTCCTTCAGCCTGTCGTCTGGCACGCTGAGACCTGCATTTGAATATATAATGCTTCAGTTTCAATCAAAAAGTGGCTGCTGTCTTCGCGAAGTGCCTTCCCCGCGTGCTGCGCCCTCGTCATCAGATAGATTTTCTGCTAGACGAACGCCCGACAAGCCGTACTTCTCCTGATCTCGCATCAAAGATATCAAAGGTGCATTGCTGAGGACCCGAAAGGGTCCGTGACTGAGGCACTCTGAGGGACGTGCGTAGAAGCCACGAAGCGCCTCAGGTCTTCGTCTTCGCGACCACTCCAAAACCCTTGAACTTCTTTGCCACTGTTTTTCAACTTGCGGTCTCGGACATGGAATGGCCTGCTGGGTTAATCTTATGTTGTGGGGAAGTGGAGCAGGCAGTCACTTTCATCATATCCCGGGATCCACTGGTCCAAGTCAGAGCGTAGCCTGGGAGCGAAACCCAGTGCTTGGATCTCTTCCCGCAGATCACCGCCCTTCAAATAGAGGATCCCGGGCCCACACCGGGATTCAACTCTTTCAATCCTGCCTTGTCCTTCAGCATCTTCAGCTTCAGCTGTTGTACGTGCCAGGCGGCCTCGAAGGTTCTTGGCCACCATGGGGATAAACTTCGGAAGCGACGTTACGGCGCGACCCGTGACAAAGTCGTATTTTGCAGCCATGTTCTCTACCTTTTCGTGGAGTGGGAGAACGTTCTCCAAGGAAAGAGCCTTTGCTATCTGGGACACCACCATGATCTTCTTTCGGCGAAGGTCCACAAGTGTAAAACGAGCCTGAGGTGAGCAAATGGCGGACACCAGCCCAGGAAGGCCACCGCCCGTCCCGACATCCAGGACAGTTTCTCCAGGCTGAAAGCTGGCAGCCAAAGGAACTGCCATACAAGGCAGTACATGCCGAGATAATACATCCTCCACTGTGGAAGCGTCCTTCCTTGACATCAGATTAATTTTGGGGTTCCACTCCAGCAGCAGCCTGCTGTACTCGACTAGTGCATTTGCTTTGTCCCGCCCAACCAACTGCGCAAGCAGCCCAGGTGTTGCCAGCATGGCCGCGCAGGCATGCATATTGATGATGCAGAGCACTGTACTGGGGCTGGAAAGCCTCAACTTCATCGCAGTTGCGGGAGACAAAGGCTGTGAGGACTGAACGTCATTTGCAAGGCAGCACAATCATCCTCTAAATTTGTTTCGCCGTCAGGTGCAAGTGCCCGTACCTAGCTGTCATGTGTCAGAAATGTTATATGTCCACTGGCTTGGATAAATTGCCAAATTTGCCGAGATGTTGTGTGAGTGAATTTGCCGCATGCCCTGGGCCATAAATCCAATTCGCTGCAATCTGCAAATATCTGCAGGATTGATAGAACACTTGCGGTACACGATAGACACCAAAGCTGGCTGAGAGCGCGGACTTCGTCGCTTAGTATGCGGTAGGCTCGATGCACCTCGGTGCGATAATCCTCTCGCCTACCTCCCATACTGTTTTGTTTTTCTTTCTGAGCGCAATACCCTTACAAAAGCTGCATTCTCGCCTCAAGGACTGAAGGACGTAAGCTTGCAGCATTTAGAAGCACTTCATGGCGTCTCAAACTGCGAGTCCTTCGCCCCCAGCAGCATGCTTGTCGGGGTGATAGAGGCGGGAAAGCTCTCGGAAAGCCACACGCACCTGTGCTGGGAAGGGAGCTTGGGCCCTCGTGCTTGTGGCGACGATGTTGGCGCCTCGTCAACCGATGCTCCGGGCTGAAGATTCAGTGTATCCCAGAGATCATAGTCTCCATCTGCCATGAAAGGATGTGGTTTCACAGGGGTGTCTTTCAAGCTTGGCTATCTAGTTTGCGCTCGATGCTGCTCATGAATCGAAGTGCTGTCTCGCAGTTGAGAGAGGAAGCATCTGCTACAGCGTCTTTGATTCCATGACTGCACTCTTCGTGGATAACAGCTGTGACAGCAGAAAGCAAGGAGTTGGCTCGGCTTAGCGGGTACGAAGAGTAGCCAGGCATCATCATTGTGGCAACACATTACATGCTTCCTTTTTTGCTCCATTCGCAGTTGCGGCAGTTTGGCGCACCTCTTTGGCTTCATGCACTACAAAGCTATGGCATCAGCTGTTGTCGCCTCCCATGCCAGAAACGAATGAACTGTAGATCTGCCAAACAGGCAAAGTAGGATCATTTCTGCGATCTTCCGGCCATATTGACCTGCCGGGGTCACATGCATGCATAAGTGCGCTCAAGAGTCCGAATGGCGCGTGCCTTCAGCGCCATTGAAACAGCCTTCCCGACAAAGTCATCCCGCCTGAAGCTTGGCTGGCACGTTAGCTCGCCATGCATCTTGTCACAGCCCTTTTGAGCAAATCTCAAGGGATTCACAATCGTTCACAACTGTTGCAAAATGTTCATAAAACAATTGAATGATACGGTCTCATCTTCCACGTGATGTACGCTCGTGAAGCTAGCAATTGTCATGAAGGTCTTGAAATGGCTGGGGCTTTGCACGGGTGCCCCCACAACAATCGGAGATGTTCTTGGTTTTGGGTTTGAGGGGGGGGCTTGGGGGTGTGCCTGGTATGTTGGGCATTTAGGTGGGAGGGGGGGCCACACCCGGCACGCATGTGCAAATCTGCGATAGATCGGATCAAGTGGTCCCGGAAATGATCCACAGCCTAGGAGACTATTTGAGTCAACCTCCAGCTTTCGTGATGTGCAAGAATGAAATGGCCTGCAAGCTAAAGCTACCGTCTCTTTGAACAACCATGCAGCAACCACACGGATGTTGTTCTGCCATTGGATGAGCTGTGGTAGTGCATGCTTTGCAACTACATGACGCCGCGACCTGTGTGGATCCGGACATTGAGTCAGCCAATCAAGCAGAGTCTGCCGCATGGCCTGAAAGACACTCTCATTGGCATCAAAGCGTGCTGATTTCTCAGCAGGCCTCGCAGTCACCAGTAGAACATATCTTCTCGATAATTTCGGCCTGCCGAGGAAGTAGGTCTGGTGTCACAAGCAAAATTAGCTGGCGGGCCTGTGCGTCTTCTTGCAGAGACTCATCAAGATCGTCTGAATCGGCTCCATAAAGTTCAGGTATAGCTTCCATGAACCACCTCACTTCCAACCCCGTTCCTCCAGCGCAGCCCTTACCGCCACCCGACAACTGTTATAGCGTAACATGTCAGAAGAGGCTAGCCTGGGTCAAAAGATCAACACAGGCATGCTCAGCCCATGTCTTGGCAGAAGAGATACTTTACAAGAGGTCCGTACACAGGGAATCTTTGCAAGGGCCAGACATCTCCATGTCTGTCTGTAACTTCTGCTGCTTGAAGTTGAAGACCGCCTGAGCAAAGCAATTTTCTTGACTGACCGCCGGGTCCATATGAGACTTCACCTACTCTATCGTGACACTATCGGAAGGCTGCCCTTACTTGACACTGCCTCTGTCCATTTCAAAGTAACGAAGCTTACATGTGTGGAACGTGCTGTGACGACCGGGAGCCTGTGTTCTGACTCTTACTTGGATGTTCATGGTGGTGGAGTCTGTTGAATGGAAAGTGCAAGCATCGCTTGCGGATGTCAGTCATGTTTCGAGTAATTGTTGTTGCTCCAATTCTGTTGTTTGGCTTGAATCTCGAAGGCCCTGCCTCTCTCTGGTCCAGCTTTGTCTTGCACTCATGCTTGCCGGGATCGTCGTCCTGAGCATTTGTCGACTCAGCTCCTTGGATGCGCCGTGAAGAAGCGAGATCTCCTCGTCATCATCAGCAGCCAAAGTGCGAAAGGCTGCTCTGGACATAACAGCCTGCAAGTCAAATCAGACCTTGCAAGAAAGACATAATGTCGGTGCACAGCAGATTCACGACATGATGCGAAGAGGGATGCGCTGTAGGGAGGCTTTCAGTGAAACCATGCGGCCTTGGCCCTGGATTCCTGACACCATGCAACTTGCAGAATAAACTGCTGACTTGGTGCAGCTGTCCGTAGCCCAAGGTTTTAAAGTTTTACTCTTGAAGTGCTTACGTACATCTGATGTGCAGACTTTACTGCTGATCTGGTGCAGCTCGGCTATGTGATAACTTCTTGTCATGTTTAGCTTGCTCTGCAGCTTGCCATAATTGCGAACCAACACATCTGGCGTCACAGTATGAAACTACGAAATGAAACTTCGCCATGGATTACAGCCGTCTGGCTCGTCTGCGTTGGTCTGGCAAATTGATTGCTAGCAGTGGACAACAATTTCGCTCGTGCTTTTTGTGCCGAAACAGGTGCTCGGACAGCTTGCTTCGTCCTAGAGAGATGGCAGTGCCGAGTAGCCTGCACCAGCCGCACGCAAACCAGCAGCAGCACTCGCAAGACAGCAAACAGGAGGACTGCTCTTGCCTGGAAGGTTTTCTTCAGCACTCTTTCGAGCCTGGTCAGGTGCAGCAACCCAAGGACCTGACAGACTAGGACTAGACAATCCGTTGCCCTGCCTTGAAGTACATAACCGCGGATGTGACGCAGAGAACCAGCCCCAACCAGTTGATGACCGAAATGGGGCTGTCCAAGGACTGCCAAGACAAGACGGCCCAAGGCAACACTGCCAATCTGCGCTGCGATGGGAAAGAAGTAGACCGTGCTTCAAAAAGCAAGACTTGCTTGGACTGACAAACGTGCCACAGCTTGCTTCTGCGCAGTTGGACAGCTCAAACATGTAATAAGTAATCTTCGCGAGTGACCCTGCGCGAGTGACCCGCCGCATCCCGCGGCTGTGACATGTTACAACTTCGTACGACAGCACATCAAGCATCGCTTCAGTCAGGCTCACCAGGCCTCTATTGGCAGAAGAGTAACCGTATGAAATGGCACCAGCAGCGCGCCGAATGCAGCTGACGTTATCTGAATCAATCTCGTGTGTCCAATGACCTCGCATGCGTCCACTGGCCAGTCATCTCGAGTTCGAAGAAGCACCCCAGGCAAGTTGTTGGACACTTGGGTGGGGACACTGCAAGCGTTGCAAATGCCTGATGCCCAAAACAGTACGTCGAAAACATTCAAGAAGCTTGGAAGTGTGGCTGTTGCTTGTTATGCTGTTGGATCCTGGCCTATGACCGTCACAAGTCGAAAGACAGGACCAGGCCGAGGCAGCCATGGGATCGACCAGAAGCCGCTCCACCTCAGAGAGGTGCCTCCCTCACACATCCGCCTCTGCGCATCTGCGCCGTCCGCTCATGCACCATCATGCATCCAAGGCTCTCATTATACAATGACCTTGCGTACACACTCCAAGCTCAAGGAGGCTGTGGCCAACATCCAGTTTAAGGTCCATGCAATTCTACGCCAACAGTGAAGGCTGCCAGAAGCACTAGTTTCGACACTATCAGAGCGCCAGGCCTGCGACGTGCATGCCAAGCCATCTTGATCAGAAGTATTCTGCCCTGCTGTGTGTAAGCATATTTGCTCTGAAAAACTTTCTGTAAGTAAGCGGCGCAAACGCTGCATGACAGGGCCTAGCAGGCCTAGCAGTCAAAAAAGTTCAGGCCTTCTTCCCTGCAACGGAGACATCACTTTCTGCGTCAGCAGGCAGCGCGCAACAGTGAACGCCTCACACTATGTCGAGTCTGATTCCGGTGAGCACAACTGTCGCTGGGCGAATATGCCTGTTTTAAAACATCTTCAGCACATCGTGCAGTGGCAGACTAAGATTCGAGCATTGGCCAAGCAGGCCCATTCTAGGCTGGTGATGCCCTGTGCTCTTGCAAGTTCAATCGAATGAGTGATTGATCATGTTCCCAGCCTCCAAAGATGGCCAGGGGCCACGTACGGCCAGCATGCCACCCAATGATGCGACCTGAACACCCAGGGCAAGGCAGGAGAGCGCTGAAAGACGTGTGCAAACATCAATTCTTGCTTTACAAAGTGAAATGGATGTGAGTCTGGAATCGACAGGGCTCCCCTTGGATAAACCTAAACACGGGAGCGCCATCCNNGCTTCGGAGGTGGGGACCTGGAGGGAAACGAAGCCGGGATACGCCCCCTACCCCCCCCCCCCCACCCCCCCCCCAACGTTCTTTCACTCCGGCCCTCGCAGCTTCGCTGTTCCTCTGAGGGGATACTACTCAAGGTGGCCCAGCTAAGACTGAAATTTAACAAGTCTACCGTCACAGCACAGCTTTTCCACGAGCATGCCTACTGTAGCCACTGCTGCAAGCTAGTACACGGGCTTAGGAGCTATGTTCGTGAGACTTGGCCACACCTGAAGCGGGATAGCAGACCTGCGAGTTGCTTCTGCTAAGCCTTCCATGCAAGCAGTAGGGCTTCGACACCGGCCGCCATCAAAAGCTCCTGCTCTTGGATGTCACTGAGAGCTACAACTATCCGCCGACTCCGCTTGGGAGCACCTCTGCCCCGTTCCTGGGCACATGGATTTTGGCCCAAACCCCCGCTGTTCCTGCCAGCCCGCCCTGCCCTCTGCCCCCCTTCAACTGCCCTAGATTGTTCGTTTAGTGGGCTCGACCTTGTCAGGAAGTCTGATGCCAAACCGACGGTGCACCTTGGCCCCTCAGTGGGATGCAGTGCGCTTGTGCAAGCACGCACGGGACCTCGTGCACCCTTGTGGAGGAGCGCGCGCCGCAACTGCGCGGGGTCGGCAGCAGCGGTGGCGACATATTCCGGCCCTGTCGCCATGGTCCAGGTCAGAGCCCGTGTCTAGAGCTTTAGCTCTACATGGGTGGCGCCACCCTTCCAGGACATTTTGAGAGTCCCGCAGAAACCCCAACATCTGCATCGTGAGCATGGACCGTTTTGAAAACTAGCCCCAAGGCCACTCCTGGGGTAGGGCTGAGAAAAATCTAGACCATCATGGATCATTGGGCACAGGGGAGAGCCGAAATGGAGAAACGGACCCACAGCATCGTCAGCATCATTGCGGTCCCGTTTCTCCTTGTCCAGGCTTCTAGGTTGCCCGTGCCCTCTGGGCCAGGCCTGGTGGGGTCCATGAAGGTTGGACGCTGGAACCACGGAGGCTATCATGAGTTTTCGCAAATTCTATGCTGTGTTTGCGAGGGTTTTTTGCAGTTAAAAGAACTGTTGAGAAGTGGGGTGACGGGCTCCTGGATTGGTGATGGTTTTATGCAGATGTGGTGCAGGTTTTATGGGATTTGTGTGTGGGTTTTCAGGTCTAGCGCGTGCCGGCTTCATGAAGATTACATGATTTTCTGCGGGCGCTTCATACCTGCACGCAGGCTTTTTTATGGGTGGTGCCCATGACTTTTCGGGGTGAGAGTCACTTGAAAAGCAGTTTTTGCAGGGCTGATAGCTTTCTTCAGCGGTTGGAACAGCTCAACCATAGGTGCGAATGACCAGAAGATCACTTGAGTAGCGAAACGGACGCGCGATTGTGCTGATGATGCTCATGTGCGCGCACACGCCCGTACGTGAGCATCATCAGCACAATTGGGGGTGCATTTTGCCACGCCCAACAACAGCTGCAATTACATCCGTGCTTTCCAAGCTTCCCCCAGCACACGGCAGCATTTCTGAAGGATTTGTGGGGTCCCCCAAACGCCCCCAAAAAACATCATGAGCACGGAGTCTAGCCTGAAGTCCTGCCCAAGAGGCCTGGGACAAGAAGAGCTTGGATTGAAGGATAGGCCAAGCGGCACAGGAGGGCGAAGAAATGGAGAAAAGGCCCCAGAATGATGCTGATGATGCAGCATCGTTAGCATGGCCCCAGGTCCGTTTCGCTTTTCCAGGCCCTACTCTACTGCTGTCGTTCACCACTACTATTCCGACCTGTCCTACTGCTACTATGCTGTGCTTCTACGATGATGTCTTGTCCTGTCAGTTACTGCGCGTGCTGCTGTTGTTAGTTGCTGCGCTTGTTACTGTTGTTATTGCCGTCTCCTGCCGTTGACTACACAGGCAGCAGGGCCGGCCCCTGCCGCTGGACCTGAAATTGCCGGCGTCCGTTTACAACTAGAATCTTGGAAATCCTTGGCACCAAAGCAATTACCATGTAGTCCCCGTTACAAGGCTAGCACGGCCTGTTTTAACCCACCTCTGGAATGAAGCAGGACAACTGAAAAGGCATGCTCCATAGAACCCTGCCGCAGCTCCTTGTGTAGAAATTCCATGCCTGCAAGCAAGTGCTGCTACGAGTAGCAGCTTCAGGCAGAAGCCGCGAAGTGCATATGACTCACGCTGCAGCCAGGCAGCTGAAGTACTTGCTGCCTGATTCCCACTGACATCTGATTGCTGCACACAGCGAATGGCTTTGCTGAGGTTCCAGCTAGCCACGAGAATCGTCATCACCTCGGCCGAAGTTTGGTATGAAGCCGTCATCATCATGTCACCCTAGTCTGAAACTTAAGCCCAATTCCAGCATGCCCCAAACCTCTAATAAGCCAATGACTCCAGTGAGAGTCCAAAAGGCACCAAGTCCCTTCAGCTTTGCTTGCAAAGGCGCAGGAGTCAGCATGTAGAACCATGCTGCCATTGTATGATGCTGATTCGATAAAACCTGAGGCGGGGGAGATATGTTCGGATCCAATTAGCTTCCAGCGGAGCTTTGCCACTGGCCTTGACAGCAGCTCCTATCTCGCAGGTGATGAGTACGCCCAGGATGAGCTGCACAATAACATCCACCTCAAGGATCCAGTTGCTCACAAGTAACGCGAGCTTTGCGTGAGAATGTGTCTGTGCTTTCCATAAAGTGCGGCTCCTGCCTCGGCCTCAGCCGCCAGTTCTCCAACAAGGTGTTGAGTGCCCGTCATGGACAACGTGCAAACAATGGTGATAACGAGGATGCCAGCCACCAGGTTGGACAAGCAAGCTGTTAGAAACCTTGGAGCTTGCCCTATGAGACACAATGGAAAGCTGCCGCCGACGAAATCCCTTGAGCTTCAACTGCAACTGCCAGCTTTTCGTGACATGACTTGCATCTGGACACGATGGCAGCATACGGCAGCCACTTATCATTCTGCTACATGTGCAAAGACCTTGCATGAATTGAAGGTATTCATTTGTAAGCAGGCCACGGGTACGGAAAAGCCAACGCCTGGGAGCACATCAACATGCATGTTGGGTTGGTGTCATATCCACTTGCTGGCCTCATCAGTGGTTAGATGCTGTAAATATAGTGCCCCAATGAAGTCACCTGCCACAGGTCTCTGCTGTGGCACTGCTTGTCGAGCACACACTCTGCTCAATCTACGAAACTAAGGCTGCGGCTGACGAACACCACGAGGGCCCAGAACACAACTTCAACAGACCGCTGCCAACTGGACTCCAAGAACCTGGTAAGGCTTCGAAAGCAACTTCATGCGTTCTGTTTGGCACGAAGCTGTAAGGCAGGGTCTCTTTGGTCGCCGAGTTGATTCTGGAACTGAACCTCGCCGCAGCCCTGGGGTTATGCACAGTCGGCTGTCACACAACTTGTCAAGCTGTAGCAAGCCTCTTTGTACTCAAGACTATCACCAAACACAGTTAGCGCACTGCAGTCAGACGAGCGCAGAACGTCTACTTTAGCTTGTTGAGCCAATGGCTGTGAGCGTCTGCCAGTGCTGGAGCCTGCAGCTGACGCTGCAATGTCTTCAGACTAGAGTTGCTGTTGCACTTGAGCAAATCGCCTTGGCTGCGACCACTTCGCATCTCCCCAGACGGTCCAGGCACGACAGGCTTCGGGACTTGGAAAGAGAGCAATTTTCTGATGTCTTGTGAAATACTCTGTGACACACTGCAGCTTACTGTAGCTTCTACCTGGCAACCCAGAACGAGTCAAGCTCCAAACGCAATGGTCGTGGCATTGGAGGCGGCATTGGAGGGGAAGAGGTGGAGGAGCTCCTGCCAAATGGATTCGGTCAAACCCCCAGCATCTCCAACAAATTTTGAAAGCGAGCAAGATCCACGCAGATGAGACGCTGTCACCTTAGAACTGTCCAATGGGAGATGCTGACTCCAAGCTTTTTTCATTAATCTGCGGCCGCGGCTGATCATGTCGGGTGGCTGCGATAGTCTGGAAGAAATACTCTCGCCGGAGATTTGCCTGCCAAACGTCTCTGGGCCTCTACCCTTCCAAGATATAGCTTCAGCTGCTGTTTTAGCTGAAGGCCACGCCTCCCAGCATTGGAATCCTTCCTTGCCTGTGACCATTTCTGCACGTTTTACTGTGTGGTAAGAAACATTGCGGGTCTCTTACAGGCGACAAGGCTGCACAGACGTTCCCGCCTTCCGTTTGGCTACTTCCGACTTGTAGCCTGAGGTGGACTGCCAGAGTCTGCAAGATGTAAGATGAAGCAGGGACAACCAAGTCGTTGACAGTATTGACAGATGTCGTAACCTCGTCAGGTTTCAGCACTCTTGCTGAGGGGTTGTATCAATACAATGATTTCATCAGTTCCGGACGGCATTTCTCCTGAGCAAGGGCGTCAAGTGCACTGGAAACACGTCAGGGAATTCCCGCATATGCCAGCTTATACTTTCGTACGCGACTGCCTCTTGTACCTACCGTTTGCAACGCTAGACTCAACAAACAGGACACAAGTCTAAGTTTAAGTGAATGTTGCTTGCTGCTCAGACTGCTTTGCACCACCCAGCGTCCGGACAGCTGTAGTGCACTTCGTGCCGATCAATCTCGTTCCGGCAAAACACACATTCGCGGACATGAATGTGACCTTCACATCAAGTTGAGCTGCGCAGCGGCATTTGTATGCTCCAGGGTGACAGCAGGCCTTGCCAAGGCTTCAATTTCTTGACCTTCTCAACCTCAAACAGTGTCAGACATTCAGTGACCACGGGAGTGCCGAATTCTGGAGCCACTAGGCCCAAGCGGGATGACCTGCACGGCACCTGCAGTTCAAGCATGATTGAGGGCCTCTAATGTTGCATGGGTCTTTGTGAATGGCAAGAAGTGCAGCAAATTTTTGTCTACAACCCTGTTGACGAAAAAAAAGTAGCCTAAACACGTGTGCATCTATTGGCAGACTGGATCCCCTTCAAGGCTTTTGGCCTCATTGCCCTTGGTGAAGCAGAGTAGAGAACCAGGATTTGGCTGCGGCCTACTGGCACGACTACTGTGTTGTTCTCTTTTCTGGTTGTGACTATGACAAAATGAGAATATAATGCCTCACGACCAAGACCAACGTAAAACATGTTTAAACTGAGCTTGTCACAACTGATCTCTGGTGCTTGGATGCACATTGCATTCCGTATAGCATGGCTCTGAGCCGAGAGACTGCCGGCAGGATCGCAACAGCTAAAGGTCCAGAAAGCATCTGCAGCTGCAGGCAGCAAGGTAACAGCGGTCAACGAGATGGTGAAAGCTGTTTCTGCAGACTGAACAGTGGCCAGGTAGCCTGCCCAGATTTGGAAGCTGTCAAGGCTGATTCACCGCTAACAAATCCTGAGAGCTTGATAGTTGGCACCAGCGTGCCTCTGCTGGCGGAAAGCTCCTGCAAAGATCTCAACATCTTTGAGTTGAAGACTGCCGCATGCCGCATTCAGTCAAACAGCGGCCTCGCGCAGCTGTATGAGATCGTAAAAAGCAGCTGCCCGCCTCACTGCACTTAGCGCTGACACTTAAGACTTGCAGAGGCACGCATTCATGATTTGAAACGTACTTGCGCTCCATGAAACAGGCCCGAAGTTCTGCCTTCCCTGTTTTGCCAGTACTTGAACCTTTGCCGTTTACATTACATTTAGTCTGAGGTATTGGTGGCCTTCACTGCCTGGCATAGACCTTGGCAATTGCGAGGTGTGAGGGTTTGCGCTTGTGAGGCACCTGCACCATGCTCGGAATTTGTCCGCCACAAAAGGTCTGACTGGGGGTTTCTTACGCTTCGCGGTCACGTTATAGCCCACTGCAGGGTGTGACCCGAGCAGGTTTGGCAGTGATGTTTCAGGCTTCCCTTCAAAAGCATATCAAAGCATAGATGCCCAGCGCTAGAGGTTCACTCATGAAAAGTGGAAAAAAGACCTGAGAGAATGAACGCTAACAGCACGTAGTGCAGGCTTCAGGGCGCGGCATGGCAGCCAGGGCAGTCGTCTCACCGCTGGAGTCTGGACTCTGCATGAAGCTGTCCAATGTCGCTTCACACCAGGCATCATTCCCCGGGCGAGATGTGTGCCGGTGCAATAACATTTCCTTCTCCAAGCTGCCCACCTTTAGTTGCAACGCCTCCTTTTCCAGCTGTGCTGCGTCACACTTGCGACGCAATGTCAAATTTTCAGTGGTTGCTTGCCTCAGGGTGGCAATGGCCTCAGAAAGTCGCTCCGCCAATTCTTCTTTGCTGATGCCCAGGGTCTCGTCTTGAGCCCCACAGGGGTCCTCAGCTTGGCTTCTGAGAGGGACCGAGCTTCTCGTGTCTTCTGGTGCCACCGGAACTGGCGGCACTGGTGGTTCCCGGCTAAGAGCCAGTGGTGGTGTTGTTGCCTTGACTTTGCTTCTTGGGGTAGCTGGTTTCCAATGGCTTTGATTGGCAAACTGCCTTTCCGAGTTGCTTTGGCCCGGGTGCGCCCCAGGCAGACATGCTGCACCCCATTCGTCAAGGCTGCTGGGAGGAGCCACGCATTGCACGGCATCGGCATTCTGCAGGTTCTGCAGCAAGTTCCCATTCAGGACTTGCATTGGTATCGGCTTCCCTGTGACATGCAAGACGTACTTCTGGAAAACTTCAAGCTGCCGCTTGAGGCCCTGAATCTCCTGCCGCAGCTGCTTGATGAGCAAAGAAGTAGGATCCAAGTTCACCACAGGGCAATTTCGAATTCTGCCAGCGGTGCATGCATACTGCAGGGTTGACAGATTCTCCTCAACGCTGGAATCAAGCATGTTTAAGCATGCCACCATCAGGGTGTAGCCAGAACCCCCCAGAGCATCACGAAGCAGAATGGTAAGCTTTGATTCACGGTAAGGTATCAAAGCCATGCGCTTCTGTCCGCTCTGTTGCTTAGCAAGAGCCGCGATCACCTTCCGCAGTACGAAGAGTGACTGGTTGATGCTGGCACTTTCCTGCAGAGTGCGGCCGCTGGCACCTGGAAATCCACGAGACGTCAGTACACTGAGAATACGAAAACACTCGTGCCCACTGGGCCTGTGTCCATCTGCCGTTCAGAGCCAGCCAAATCAACCAGCGTCAGCTTGGCTGACTGGTCCACAGCAGCGTCAGTTCTCCTGTCATTGCAGGTGTGATACCCGTGAAATGCGTGAACAGTGCGTGAACATACATAAGCGGCCTGTCCACGCTCAACATCAGCACAGAGTGGGATCGGCTGCTTGCCTGGTTACACGACACAAAGCAACACAAAACTGCGCTGTCGATCTTTGACCTTGGAGCCGAACCTGGTTCATCTGATGGCTGGCGACTGTGCGGTTCTTTACGCCAGCCTGGCAAGGATGAGAACAGTCAGAGAACGTGCTACAAGTAGACAGCTCGCTTTGCCCTCCTGCGGCTCAAGACCCTGAAGATCCAGCAGCTGTGAAGCAACTAGCGAATGACAAGCCTTGTAGTGGCTCAGTGCTTCTGATGCAGTCCTTGTCCAACATGCAAATGTCCAGAGCTCTGCGAAAGAAGCGGTGAGCACAGCACGGCTGGGCCTGCACTCAAAGACAAACAAGTTCTCCACAGTGACAGACGCTTCGCCTTCAAAGCAAGTGTGGCAAAGCCCTGCAAAGAAGGCAGGGCCCATCTTCTTGGGTTCGAGCGTGGATTCCAACGAAGCCGCAACCCTCCACCTTGACCAAATTTTGTCAGATGCACAGGGTTCAAGAGGTCGAAGATTCGCCTCAGTGGCCATTGAAGCATTTCGCAACAGACTGGCGAGCAATTTTGACTCCCACAACCTCGAAGTCTTGCAGTCAAAGTGGCTCGCTGTAGATTTGCAGGAATGAAAGTCGCAGCGTGAAGGCGCTTCCGCCTTTTCTCTCAGAAGTTATAAAAATTACAATAATTGCACTCCGTGGACATCCGGGAACCTTGCTGCTGCTTCTTCCCTCCATGCGCTCAAACAGGCCATGGATAGCTCGCGGAACGATTCCAAAATTCTCAGGCGAGGTGGATTCGGCCCTCACCTTGCCATTTTGTCTTGGCATCAGAAGCCTGCGGCTGGAAGCATGTGCATGCCTGTGGCGGCTTTGTGCCAGTGCCAGCTTGGTACGCGAACCTGGGTGTCTGACCATGATGTATGCATCCATTTGTGAAGCGTGTGCTCAGTCTGCTGTGAGTTGCAAGACACCTACAGTCCTGCCAAAATGCCGTCGACCTTGATGCGATGGGGGCTGTGGCCCCGACCCCTCCATTGTGTAGGTTTTGCCGCTGCCAGTTTGACCTTGCGCAGCAACAATTTAAGGTTGCTCATGGTCGAAGCCCGCCCCGGCCATAAGCAAAGACCGTGCTGTGATACCCGTCCATGACTGCATCCAGCAATTCATCCAACCCCGCATCGTTGAAGACCTCTATGGCACATGGTGCAAAGTTCAAACACCGTCTTTGAACTAAGCGAGCCTGCTTCTGGGGTGTCGAAGGCGGAAAGACTCTGTCCTGAATTGACTTAGCAGACGGCTTTTCCGAATTAGACAGATGAGAAACAGCCCCAGCCCTGTGGCCGCTAAGCCCGGTTCAAACTGAAAGGCTTTTTGACCCTCCTGACGACCTGCCGCAGCTCAACAACAGAAGCTACAGCAATCAGGCCCATCTCCCCTCCCAAGCAATGGCCTCCATTCACCCGCACCTGTGCTGGTGCGTCGCCCTAACAGGACAGATTCAAACCCTTTTCCTGCCCTGCTGCAGGCTTCATGAGACGGTGTGATGAGGCTGCCTCGTCCCATGTGATACGACCAGTTGGCCCAGAATCCTGCTTGCCAGGCACATGATTCGATCCCCTGCACATGCAGCGCGCAGGGAGTCACTTTGAGAACTGCTGTTTGCGCCTCACCGGGCAGCACAGGCCTGCATCCGAAAGTTCAGACTGTCAAAATACAAAAAAAAAAAAAGCCGAGTTTTTCGGAGATTTACAGATCCAGGGCCTGAAGCGGACGCAAACTCGCACTTTGGCGAATCCCGAGCATCCCGAGCCCTCGTCCTGTGCCTGGAGACCTCCAAATGCTGCAAAAGCGTTTGAAGCCAAGCTGACGACCACCCCTTCCCTTCGTATCCCTTCATGGCCTTCCGCGTCTTCGACGTCCATTTGCCCGGTGGGGTCACGATTCAAAGATCAGGAGACTGCATTTTGCACAGGTGGACATTCTGAAACGCTCTGCAGGATGCAGGGATGCAGGCAAGGCAAGGTCGACCATGTAGGAGCTGCATGAAGCGGCAGGACGTGCTGCACAAGCTTGTGGTTGGAGTAAAGTTGGCGCGTGCCGTCTATAAACTGATGAAGTTGCTTGAAATTTGTCAGAGCCAGCGGCTACTGTAAGTATTCCATGCGTGTGATCAGAGCAGGAACCGCTGCCAATACAGCTGCTGCACAAGCCACCCAGTCGTCAGCTGAAAGCAAAGATAAGACAAAAAGCGCGTCTGCTTATAAAGTCTGCAGATTTTGGAAGTATAGCCAGTGCATAAGGCACAGGCAGCCCCGGAGGCGCCATGCCATGTTCAAGGGCAAGCTGAGGATTCTCAAACTCACTACCAGCATTCCTCGATGCATGCTTGTGTGTCCTAGAAATGGTCGCCACCAGAAGCGCATGCGTTTTAGGGCTTTGTTGGACATATGTGGTCTGGCAGACCGTCGCTGTGCATCTAGGGCTGACAAAGTTCCAAGTTCTACAAAATCGTGCCTGATAATGAGAGGCGCATGTTTCAAATTTCCAGAGGCAACCTAAGTTAGGATCTTGCAGAGTTTTGAGCGTGGCAGCTTTACGTTGCAAGCTTCGCTCGCCATTGATGCTGTCGCAGTACTGCGGTATTACGAAAAAGTTCGGCCCACGTCTTATTTCAGACCTACACTACTAGCAGACTGCTTCCTCCCCACAGACTCCTCCACTGAGCACCTTGGGGAATTTGCTGGAACCTTAAACTAGTACTAATTTTGATTTCAACATCGCATGAATTTACTCCGTGACATGGCCATGCTACGTGCCCTCTTCATGGATGTTAACGGATGTTGGGCCTCCTGACAGGCCCCGAGGCCCTAGTAGATCGAAATTTCTTTGTTGGCAATGTAGCGCCTCGAAATCGCTGCTGGTGCTCTTACCTAGTGGCAATGATTGGCAACTGATCAAAACCACGTGCCTCGCATGCATGTTGCTATGCTGTCTGAGAGTCTGGAACCATGACTGACTCTTGCTGGTTCCGACAAGTGATACAGGGTGAGTATGTACTAAATACTGTGTTTGGTCTGGAACGGGCATGGAACAGGCACCCAGCGCAACGTCAATTTTGAGATATTGACTTCGCTGGTCTGGAATGGAGGGGTCTGGAACGGAATTCGAGGACTTGCTCCGGATCTGGATCGGGGTCTGGATCGGGATGTGAGTTTCCCCTTGTTCTGGACCAATCATATTGAGCGGTAGCCATGTCAGTTTAGTGGAGCATTTCGTTCTCAGCTCATTCTGTTAAGGAGGCGTCTCTTCCGCAATGCTGCCAGTGCGTCCTTGACTTCAGAATACAGGACCGGGCTGCAGAATCGCCACTGTGGCTGAATCCTTTTCTTTCAACAGCTTCCTTTGAGCGTCCCCCTCCAGCCAAATGCGCTGTGTCACCATGGATTTGCCTGAGGAAGCAAGCAGATGTAGCAGGTTCAGAATTCATGAGGTGTGTGTCACTCCCAGTAAGGTGCAGATTCGCTAAGCTGCACGCAGAAATGGCTCGCAAAACAGGAAAGCCACCGCTGCAGCAGAACTGCAGCTCGACCTTGACACGAGCAGGTCATAGCAGGTCTGCGTTTGCGCCAAGAACGTGCATGAAAGCGGTGTTTGCCTTTGCCATGAACCGGGAATGTTCAAATTGTTCAAACACAACGCCGTCATGATTCATGATCAGATCACGATGCTTGTCTCGCATCTGGCCTTTGCCAAAGACAGTCCCGGCTGGCTTTGCCAAAAGAATGCTACTCAGGAACCAGGGCCAATTAAACGCCCCACCACATCTTGCGGAATCGTGCCTAGAAAGAACTCCCCCCAAAGCGGTCTCTGTTGCAAGAGGGACCACTGAATCTTAGTGCGTAGCGTGAAAGACTGATGTACTTAATCCGGGAGAGCCCGTCTACTCATGAGTACTAAATGTACTAAGCTGAGGAAGGCAGGCAGACTTGCCGGAAAAAAACACTTGCTTGTGCGTCTTGCGTTTTCTTGCTCAGGGGCCAAGGGGGACATGCAATGGCAGGAAGGAATCATCATGAACCATCTGAACAATCTGAGCCCACATGATGTCAAAAGATGAGAATACAGCATACACAGAAAACACACAGGGAGGAAGGGATTAACCCTTATGGATTCATGCTTGAGCTGATTGTTGCTTCCATTGTCATCTTGAGGTTTAAAAGGGTACGAAAGCCATCCTAAGTCCCGGTCTCGACTGCGACGGCGGCCAGCGCGCTGCTGGCGACGGGCTGCGCGTGTTGCAAGGCCGCATGCGGCTGCAGCCCATGGCACGTCAGCCCTTAGATTGGCAAAGTCGAACGCTGCCTCTTTCGCCCGCAAACCAAGGCTGGCACTTGGAACTCCCCAGTTGTCCAGGGCTCGCAAGAGCCTATCTTGATACCAATCTGGGAGGCCGCCCTCCTGCCAGGCTGAACTAATTTGTTCACTACATCAGCATGATTTAGTAGTCGCAAGTGATGGAAGCGGATCTATGACTGTCCCGGCTTGCCCACCATTCCTTTCCACGCCTTCGCGCCGCAGACAACCAGCTGGGCATACCGGGCGCTTGGGGCTCCTGCCAGTTTGCACCAGCCCCTACCACGCAATCTACAATTTCTCACTTGCCAAACTGAACTGAGCCGTTTTCCGCGCCAAGCTTGTAAGCGGCACTACCTTGTGCCAGAGTTCGATAGCCGAATCGCTTAATTTACAATCGTGCAGGGACATGCATGCACAAAAAACTATAAACGTGAGAGACCCGTCTCGTTGAGACGTAGAGAAGCTACGAGTTCCTATAAAGCATCCTCAGCCCAGTGGATTCGTAGTAAAAGGGCCCCTGACACCACTCGTTTGCACGTGGATGGGCTGGCCCGTACAGCTCTTCAGCAGCAATCACAAGCTGCATTCTCTTCAAGCGTTCCTCACGTAGAGCAGCTGGCCGAGAAAACCGTGCCCCGTGCTTGACAAAATCTGGCCACCCACCCTTGCTGTAACGCGCATTCAGGAGTTTTGTGGTAACATGCCCGTATAACTGGGTGGATGGTCCCAACAGCTGGCGCACCTGCTGAACCCGGAGGTCTTCCCTTGTAGGCAGGGGAAGGGGACCCTCCAGATTGTGGTCAGTCACGCATTTCTGGATCAAGCGCTCAGACTTGACCAGGAAGGCTTCAGATGCAACGTGACAACCTGCGTCTCGGGCATCAAGGAGACTCACAGTGCGAAAGGAGACCTCATTGCTCCATTCTGACACCCAGCTTCTGTCAGGCCCAACCGCACGGACTTTAGCCCGGTGCCAGCGAACAGGCTCAAGTCGGACCAGGCGGTATGATCTGGCGTTCCCACTGGGGGCAGCAAAAGTGCCCAGCTTCTGTAGCTGGGGGCTTTCAGTTCTGCGGGAACGTGTACCGTATCCGAACAAAGCAATCTCGAAAAAGGCCGCCCGCACCTGCCCTCCACCGAGCGGTTCCCAAGAGATATCAGCCACATTGCTACCAACCCTGTCCACGAAAAGCCGGGGGGCCGGCTGTAGATCTTCTTGAAGAATCGCAACACCACGCCGGGAGCGGAGCCACCCGCGCGCCAGGCGCTCCAAACGTTTAAGCATCACTTCGTGACTGAGCCCTGCCAGACGGCGAATCGCACGTTCAAGCTCAAATCCTGCCGAAGTCATGGACTCCCGTACCTCATCAATGCTTCGCGCTTCAGAGGGTACAGCACCCCGTGCAAGCTCAATGTGCTCAACACTGAAAGCTTCATTGACCGTGACAAGCACCGTCAGATTTGTTGCTGCCGACCAGTAGAGGAGCTGCGACATGTCAACGTCTGACTTTGAGACGGGATTGAGCCATGTTGCTGGGGATGGCGACCAGGGGAATGCTGCCTCGCCATGCATTCATGTGAAGATATGCTAAATGTGCGAAGCATGCAGTTGGCGTGGAAAGCCACGTCCTTCGTTTGCATGGACGGAGGGCATCTCAGCCTGATACCCAAACAAGATGCATGACTCAGCATAATGCAAACTCCTAGTTGTATCTTCCAACATCTTGCAATGTCTTGCAGTCTTCAGACCTGCGTGTGCTGCGTGGAGCCAGAGCTGTCGTCAGCGACATACGTCCAGGCTTTCACCTGCAAGCTGACACGGCGACAGGGCTAATGCATGCTGGCGCCACGGTTTGGCCAAGGCGAAGTGGTTTACATGCAAATCCCTTCCTAGGGTACTACAATCTCAGGCGTCTGGGTGTGGCTCGAGGCACAGGTTTCTCTAAACTGCTGCAAGGCATCTGGCGCCTCTTCTGTCCCATGCGGCGTGCTGACGTGCACGGGCATCTGAACGCGGTGGTACAGAGGCTCCTCAGACGCGTCCAAAGCCGCCAACTCCTTCTGGTTAATGGAGTGTACCACACCATGCACAGGTGACCTTGAGATGCACGGGCCGCTTACATGAGCGCTCCATGAAGTCAACACTAGCCCACCAGCCAAGTCCAACACACTGCTGCTGGATCCATTGGATCGTGAATGTGACGAATGTTTGCCTTGGACCCGAGCAGCGCAGATCCCTGGCCATTACCTCTGTAATTAGGCTTCAGGACTTAAGGATGCTTAAGGCTGGTTCTGGGGACTGGGCAAATGCAGGCTCATGGATGCCATCTGTCAGCGACCTGCCAAGTGCCACAACTTGCCGAAGTTGCCAAGTCCAAGGCTGCGCAGCTATGCGTAGCTTGCCGGTCCACATTCCGAGCAGGCGTGAGGCCTGTCGAAAATCAGCTCGTGGTGGGGAAGCATTCCCACCAAACTTTTCCAGGGGTGGATGTTGAGGTGATGAAGCTTGGCCTGACCAACAATGACGTAGCTCGCTACAAGACACTTCCTGCAAAGGCCCTCGCCAGTCCCATGTTTGCGCCATATGCAAAAGTCCATATCTGGTGTGAGCCTCGGTAGTCGAATCAGATTTACGCAGTTGGTGGGGCCACGCCACATGCTTGAGCTCTCCGGCTGCCAGCAGTCGCGGAGCTGTGAGCCTCAGCAAGAACGGTGGTCGACGGCAAGGCCGCGTGAGTGAAGGACGATTTCATCTTCCAGTCATCCAGTGTTGTAGTAAATTCACTTGCTGTGCAAACATGTTAGCATGTCGCGCTGTTATGAGCCATCGCATAGTAGCTACTGCAAAGGAGGTGGTAGAGGCACGATTGACACGAGACGCAGCAACGACGCTCCAGAAGTGAAAATAGCTACGAGGATGGCGAAGGCGAGGGACTGACGAGGGGTCTTCCCCGTGACTATGTTGACACGCAAGCAGTAACTACCGTCCAAGTTGAATCATAATGCATATGTAGCAAACTTGAGCTTGAGTCACTGAGCCGCTTGCCCCGCTGGCAGCAACATGCAGCCAATGCTGCCTCGGCAAAGCCCAGTGAAACATGTGAAGCAACAACTTTCGCCGAGTTCTAAGCGTATATTCTTTCTTCCTTGAGGTCGCGACAAGCTGGCCGCAGCATGCCCAAGCACTGTTGCGATCTCGTGCAGCATACGTTTTGTCTGTTTCCATTTGTTTTCTGTTACCCTCCTCACATCTAACACAACTACATCAAAGACGGCTACTGTTGGAAAGATCCTGTCTTCGAGCTGCGCAGTCCTTGAGCTGCTTTCAGAAAGCCTCTAAATGCCCGCGGCAGGCAAGCATCTGACAGTTAACTCAGATGATCTCAGATGCGAGAGTCTTTGGCACTGGCTTAGCTGCTCTCCGTCCTCTTAGAGGTGGAAGTGAAACAGCCATTGGATCAGGATTGCGTAATACAGATCACCCCTTGTGCTCCACAGCTTTATCATTTGCTGAGATAGTCGTGCGAGCTTGGCACTCAATGGATCGCTTGGCACTCCATGGATCGCACAATCCCGGACATGCACATGCCTAAGGAAATCCTACCAGCCGCTCATGAGTACTCGAGGTCCTGGATCATCCAATCCAGCTGATCGTTGCCCCCGTATATCTCACCTAGTTCCGCTGTAGCATTCCCCCAAAAAAACTTCAGACAAGCAAATTTCCCTGAGCGAAGCACGCGCTTGTCTGAAAGCTCGCAGCGTCTCCAGGTGAGTGGAGCCCCGCCTAGCGTCTGGATCAGCTGAGGTCTGACCCAGCTACTGAATGAGACCATGTTGGATTTGGTGTCTGAGACAAGGGCACTGCCCCTCGCGCCATTTTCTTGGGCAAGTGGTCCTCAGCAATCCAGCTGGAAAGCACTTAGTAATCCGCTGAGGTCCTGGGGCGTTTCGATCTAAAGATATTGAGTCCATCGTTTGACTTTTCAAGTTTTTGATATTTTTCGATAGTTTCAAAGATTTGGCATGGGGGTCTGGCTTAGCTGCTGGTCCGTTAGCAGGGTCCCCAGGCCCCCTACCCCTCCCCTAATTCCCTGCTTGCCCCTCCCCGTTCCCCTTCCCTGTTCCCTCCCTCCATTTCCACTTGCTCTCCTCTCACCCGCTTCTGTGCCGATTGTCTGACCTAATTGTATGAAGCCCCGATGTAACTAACGAGCAGACAGATACCGCGGAAACAGTAGAGCCCACGGCAACACATGCAGCAAACGGAGCCTCGGCAACACTTGCGATAAACTTCAATCGCATGTCTTTCTGTCGACGCGAGGCCGAATGTAGCAAGAAATCTGCCCTCAGTCCCATCTCCATTCCTCCCATCCTCACCTCCAGGCGGCAGTCGCGGTGGCGATTAAAATTGGACGAAATTGTGCGCACGTTGAAGGCCTCTTCCTCGTCGGATTCGTCCTGCTGTGGAAAGTATCAGAAACGGTTCGATTCAGCTCCGCCTTCTGTGAGACGAAAAGCACAAGCATCATGTGAGCAGCTGCACAAATTATTCGTAACTTTTTAACAGCTAAGCGAAAGCTCAAGGGGGGGAGGCTATCGGTTTTACCGGGCTTTGGCACACAGCTGTGTTCATACCTATCTGTTTATAATGCTTTGCCGGATCCCTCACCTGGATGCCCTACTGCCCCACATCAAAGATCCTTGCAATTGAAAGTCGCGCATTTTGGGTTTTTTTTTAATTGGGCGGGCCTATTGTTTTACTAAGGTCTTGTTCATGTCTGGATAATGTTGTCTCTGCCTGACCCTGGCTCCCACACGAAAATAAAGGCGGGGGCTCATGTAATGACACGTCGCAGTCAAGATGACAACAATTTTGAGGAATTGCCATCTCGATGCGTCCGGCAGTCCTCAACCTCAGGACCATCATATTCACACAACGGCAGGCCTTGGTGCTCAGCGGTCATTGATTTAATGCCAAGGCTTACATGATAAGTACAGATCACCCGTGGTGTTCTTCCGCGATTCTAAGATCGAGGCTCACGAAGGTGATGGGCACGTTGGTCTCTTCAAACTCCTGGAGCTACTTCTGGACATCGAATCTTTGCAGAAAGCAGCCGTGAGCCGTCAATCCTTTGCATGAGTAGGTGGAGGATTCAAAGGACACCACTGCCACGATGATGCAACCACCGTATCTCTAATCCACCGTAGCACCGCAAAGAATGCACACGGAAGGGCAGTCTTAGTGGGTAGCTTGGGTTGAGGTTGCAGGAGGTAGGTAGGGATTTACGGGAGGGCCGGCCTGCGCCGCTTTGGTCCAGTCCTCCTCTCTCATGGGACGAAGCTCCTGTCATGTCAAGTCCCTGCCACCCTGCATCTTGCTGTGAGCCCTGCTGGTCAGGCTGAGCACTGCACAATGGAGGGTCGCTTGGCATTGCTTAGTGGAACAAATCAGGGCAGGCGTGCCACCATAAGGCCTTCAAGCTCCACAATGAGGTGGTTCTGCCTCAGAGAGGCATAAGATAAGCACAATAGGATGCATACTGAGAGACGAGCCAAACGTACAAGGGGCCATACGTCGTCCATTTGGGAAGCTGCACTACTTGAAGCGGCATTCCTTGCATCCACGGAGTGCACTGCCAGGTACTAGATTTACTAGAAGCTTGTAACTCGGTATTGGGTTATTCAGCATGATCTGCACAGACCGTCTGAAAAGCTCTCCGGCTTACCGCGGGCAAGACAGGCAAAGTAAAGCTGGGCTCGAATCATGAATCAGTAAGCATCAAGCTATCAGGCGTTCTGCCGACGTAAGCTGGCATGCCTACAGCGCCATCTCGTGCACAAACCTCGACGGGCTTCTCACAGTGTCTCTGCTATCAAATGACTTTTTGGCAACCATGTGTATGTATATGCCCAGCCAGAATCATAGTTGTGTTGTCGCAGACGTCCATGCAGGGCTGGCACTAGGACACTGGCATAGACGCGGTAGCCCAAAGATCGAAGAATGTCGTATTTGCAGTGGAATCTGGCTGCAGCACAGATCCCGCGTGGAGAGCAGGCTTTCTAGGTGGGTGGTCTGTCCCAGTTTTCATATGGGCCATATGGGATATGTGCCACAAAGACTTTGACGTACAAGAGGAGCCTGTATGACGGGAAGAAGTAGCAATCACCAAGAATAATCTCCGCTGAGACCTTGTGCAATACAAAAAGTCGAATTGCCGCCGAGCTGAGGGCTTCAAGCACTTCTCGCCCTGAGCTCCCCGCCAGCAAGAATAGCAATGTGGAGCCGATTGCCTCATGGGTGCAGAAGCGAGCGCAGCACTCGAAAGCTGTTGTACGGATGACCTCAAGAACAGTTGCCGCCGGGAAAGAAATCAAGATGTAGCAGAGAAAGGCCACGCGGAACGGCCTTGCTTGTGAGTAAGGGCTGCGGTTGACAGGGAACAGCTCAGCAGTGACTGGTCATGCAGCGCCAAGCGCTAGAAGCAGACCGTAAGAGAAAGGCAGTGACAGCCAGCGTTCTCTTTGGTATGCCTGTCCAGGAAGGCTCAGCGGACAGATATGCTGACAGATGAAAAAAGAGTAAATTGAAAGGCTGGCGGTGGCTGGCCTTTGCAGTGTTGCAGGCCACAGCGAACGCACACGTCAGTAACCCAATGCCGCAGGCTAGCGCGATCTCAGCTCGAAGGACGCGCCAAACAAACCTCCAAGAGCCCACCTGAAAGTACAAAACCCGTGAACGAGCTCCAAGCAATCGTGCTGTCCAAGGTCAGGGAGGAGAGGAACATTATGAAGGCCTGAGCAGACAGGTTTTCAGAAAACTACCCTCGAGAATGGGGTTGACAAAGTTGGCCAAGCGAAAGAGCATGCACAGTAGTGTCTACTCTACTCCAGGAAGTAACGTCGAAGAGACATGCCTTCTTCGCTGCTTATGAACTTTGCCCATGGTATTCCATATCTGCAAGCCTGCCTTCCTCGAGAAAGGCTTACGGGTACAAGGCCAGGACGTAAGCCATAACTGGTGACCATCTGTTGTCCCAAATCCTCACAATACACAGACAGCATAGGTTTGGTCTGCTACCCCTCCCCGTATATTGCGCACAGGGGCATGTCTCTTGCTGGGTGTAGCGCGTTACGTCAAGACAGAAGGCAGAAAGCGCCTGACGGAAAGATGCTCATCAAACATTCCACAAAAGTCTTAAAGGGCGAAGTAATCGGCCTGTCTCACGACATAATCCAGATCGCTTGCTTCTGGCAAAAGAGGACAAAGGCAGCATCCATCCGGCAAAATGTCGGCACATTTTCTCTCTTTGGTAAAGCTGCGCTTAGCTCCTGCCAGTATGAAACAGGTCTGGAAGACTGCCCAGTCCGCTGGGATGAAGGAAGAAGGACTGATACAGCCAAGTTCGGTACCTGCAACCAGCGTGCACGCAACGAGGGGCAAAACTGACATATGCTGATACGCCCTTAGGCTGATCGCCCGCAACCTCCCCCCCCTTCCCCCGCTGATACGGCGATACGCCGCTACGGTCGCCCATCGCTGCCACCATCTCCCCCGCCTCCACCCCGGCTGATGCGCCGATACGCCGTTACGCCAGATCACCTTCAGCTTCCAAACTACCGCCCTGCCTCCAAGACCACAAGACGCCGATACGCTGCCCCCGTCCCCCGAACCCCCAGGCATACGCTGATTGGTGTATCGGTGACGGTGTATTGGTGCACGGGATCGGGGGAGCGGTGTATCAGTGTATTTCAATTGTTCCGCCCCCTTCTGCAGTCGCACTGCAACATCAGCTGCCAGCGGGCAGCCAAAGAAATGTTCAAAAGAGAAAAGCTTGGGGCACATCAAGGGAACAGGTTTGAAAAGGTACTCATCCTTCTCAAGATAAAGCCTCAAGACTCATGCTTTAGCTGTATAAAGATGTACAACCTGGCGGGGATCCTCAAAGTTCAGCCGGTCAGGTGCTACAGTAGCTGTGGGCACAACACCTGTGCAACCGAGGCAAGATCCGGTTCTTGGGGAGACGATCGCGTCCAGCAAGATCCACAACCTGTCCGGAATTGAAACGTGATAGTCCCTGAGCCTGCAAGCACGAAGCCTGGAAATTCGGATAGGCCGGATCCATGTTCCTGCCAAAAATGCAAGTTTAGCGTGATATGCATGCTCCCCAAGTATGCCTGCTCTAACACCTGCGCATTAGATGAGCGGGTAAGGCAGAGGCAGAATGACTTCTCCAGTGAGCGGACTTCGCCTGGAGGTCTGAAAAAAGCCAGTCTGTGAAGGGTGCCATGAAAGTGGGGCTGGAAGCCGCCTGCAGTTGCCCATCAACACAGATGACGGTACGAGTTTGTGCTCGAGCTTGATGCGCAGAGGAAAGCCTGAGCTCCGGAAGCTACAGGACTCTAACATAGAAGCAAGTCCAAAGCAATAAGCTTGCCGCCATCTTCATGAACCAATGTCTTGGTCTCTTGAGCAGGCTCCAACCTGGCATCATCTGGCATCCCTTTGCCACATCCAGGCTTCTCGAGACTTCATGTAAAGTTCATGGTGCCATACGGTACCAAGAAGCTCTTGCCGTGGATCGTAGCTTCGCGAGAAGTAACGCAAGTCCCCGACATGAGGTCCTGTCCAGCATTGATCCCATGAACGAGTAGCATTGGTGATGCTGCATAGTGAGCTGCTTTTTTTCTAATTTTCTGGAGTCAAGCCTCCCGCGCCGGTTTCAGCTGACCTGAGACAGTGACAGGCCTGCATAGCTTTGAAACGATGCATGGCCCGACTTGACTTGGCCGCCGGCCATGCATCCTTGACCATACTCTAAGGTGAGCAGCGTCCGGACGAATGCACATGCACGTGTCCAAACGAACCATAGGTGACTAGCCTTCTTCAGGAATCTAGGAACCTGCGTGTGCATGCGCGTACTTCGTGATCAGATGCATGCTGTTCTGACCAAGCCAATTTTTGCAGCCAGAGCTAAGAGGCTCAGGGTACTTCCTGAAAGAGCAAAATCCTTTTGTGATCTGGCCTGCCCCTAGCATCCCCTAGCAGCCGTGCAAACCCTTTTTCGTTGAGACAAGCTGCATGCTACATGTTACTTACTTGCTCTTAATTAATCTGAGCCAATGCTGACCCGAGACGAAGACCTGGAAGAAAAGGAGGCGTAAAACATCATACGAGTCAGCCCGACGGCACCGCTCTGGGTTTTGCTTCTTTCCACAGTTTCTCGGCGGCGCAGGTGGCCTTGAAAGAAGCTGAAGTGCCAAGTGGAAAATTGCCTGCCCAATGAGGCAAGCTTGAAGCAGCCCACGGGGATACGCTAATCCTAGAGCTTGCGTCGCACCACGCATTGACCATGACAAAAGACATAGAAATCTTGCGCACATTTACGAGATCTGCATCCAGGACACCTAGCAGCACGGCAACAGCCGTCTCCAGAAGTCCGCGCAGACGACCTGAGGCTTTTGGTGCAGGTCTCATGAACAACCAGAATGGCTTCTGCGGAGATGCCCTTATCTAAGCCTCGGATATGTGTGTGCAAGGTTGCTTTGCATAGAAACTAATGGAGCTGTCCCTGTCTTCTGTGTCTTTCAACAGCATAGCGTGCAGGTGGCACGGCAAGAAATTCTGTCCGTCATGTAATTATGCTTACACGCTCTGACCCTGATGTTGGGTATCGGACGTTGTGCAGGGAAATCCCACAAAGTTGCGGACTCGGGGCGCGATGATCCGCATGGCAGTTCCAGAGCCAAGCTTTCAAACAACCCGAATGCATTGGCTTCACGTGTGGCGTGTCAGCTGAGGCGCTAAAGCTTTGGAGCCGGCAAGCCCAGCTGCAACGTTGCCTGCATCAAATGGCGCCAGAGTTCGCTCTCACACGAAGCTGCCTCTGCCTCAAGAAATTCTTCGATCTTTTGCCACATCTTCTCAGTCATGGCATGCTCTACATCCTGCAGACTTGCGTGCCGTTTCTTGCATCCGTGTCCACAGCAATTGTGCTTGAAGCCAAACTGAAGGTGTCCTTTTCCACGAAAATCTGCAGACGGTCCAGCTGACCCTCTTCATCATAAGCCTCCAATGAACAAGTGCCAACGCCGCTCTGTGGGAGCATGATTCCATCAATGCCTCTCGTGCTGCGGCGAAGCTTTGATGCACACCTTCCAAAGGGCAGCGAGGGTCCTGACCAGCTCAAACGTAAAACACGCAGCGGTGGTGTCTCAGCGAAAAAGATCATGGAGTCCTTTTCGCCATTTAGAATGAGTAAGTGGCGAGGTGCAATGCAGGGCAGCGTCAGTGGCCTGGCCAGAACAGACTGACTATCTCGCATGCCCAGGGTTCAGGGCGGAATGCATGCCAGATGGGCGCATCAAATGCAAGCTTCTTGCTCGAATCGACCTAGCATCAAGAGTCCCTACCTCTTCCTGAATTAGAGGCAGGAATTTCTTCAGGCACCTCGGCAATGCCTGGAGCCAACCGCGCCCAAACAGCCTACAGTTGGCAGTAGTATGACAAAGGACGGATGCTATGCGCTTGGATCATGGCTCCAAACCCCTTCCTCAAAGCTAGATGCTGAACACTCTGCGAAGCAATCAGCATTTGGCTGCTCAGGCCATAGCTGCAACCACATCATCATCCACAGCGGCTTTCTTCATGTCAGCTGCTGCTGCTTCAAATGCAGGCCGAATAGAATCCACCCTCGCACCCCACAATCCGTTCACCAAGGAGTGGTTGAAGGATTGCACGCCGATTGCTGGCATCGCACTGAAAATGCGAGCATCCGCGGCGGCCAGAAGCCAACACGCCATGCCCCCCAAGGACACTCCCGTGGCGCTGATACGCTCTTGCAGCGTGTCAGGTCTGGAGCAGAGGTAATCCACAACTGTCAACGCATCGCGTGATATGTCCATTACGAATCTATCTGATCCTGTTCTGAAGCCGCGCACCAAAGCTTCGAAATACACATTCAGCCGCACAGCTTCGTGCTTGCCCAGTTCTTTCAGCAGCTCAGGACCCAAGTTCTGCAGGGAAAGGCTGCGCAGCCCTGCTTCTGGAATCGCGCGCTCACCGTGCCAGGGCGCGTCAAATGCCACCGCAATCAGGCCTTTTTTGGCCAATCGCTCGAGGCGACTTGCCATGAACTCCTCGGGTGCCCAGCTGTGTTCTTTGGACTGTCTACAAGGAAAGCACGGGCTTGGCACCTTGCACTTGCCCGTGGGATGCATGACCAGTACGGCCGGCATCTTGCCAGCCTCACACGCTTCACATATCCAAAGTTGTCATCACAAGAAATGCACGGAACGCTACCTCCTGGTCTCAGTCCTCTACAAATTACATTCGAAAACACCGCCCGCCTGATTTCTTCCTGAAGGCCTGAGCCCCAAAAGGAGCCCTTCGCTGGGCTGGTTATGGGTTACTAATCCTTTCATTGAACGTCCTGATGTCTAAGCATCTTTTGTGTTGCAAAACGGTTTTGGGGGCCCCTGCAATAAGGGGCTTGGAGGGTGCTTGTTCGGATTTGATTCTTTGCCGTTCCTACTGTTGTGCGCGTCGTTGGCCTGGGAGTTGCGACAATCTCTCCTTATCCGCCAATTGCTTCATACATTGGCCACACTTTGAAACACCAAATTTCAGTGATCACTCGGCCACTCCATCTACTCCAGACAGCTATGCGTTTAAAAGTTCGTGAAACAAGCACTGCGCAGGTCTGGCGTTGAAACAGTTGTCTGTTGATGAACATGCCCTGGTACAGCAGCGCATGCAAAAAATCGATGTTGACAAGAGTGGCGAGAGGCAGCCTTCACAGACCTGCCGTTAAGCTCAGTATCCGGTGGCATGCAACGTCGATCCGAACATTCTGTGTGCGCTTGGCTAGCTATCAGGTCACGGGCTTGATCTCACTAGACGTCACTAGATGCTAACAAAGCATCGTTGCATTTCTCCCTGCCTGCTATTGCTATAGAATTGTCTCTCACACTTACTCTTGGCCAGTGCCAGTGGATAGGCGCCGCACCATGCTTCGGGGCCTTGCGATGAGCAAATTGAAGCCGCCTGACATCAGAAGCTGCATAAATGTCACATGCGAAGCAGGCTACAGCACTCAGCCTTGTGACTCCGGAACAGGTGTGAGCCTCCTTCTTTCCCAGAGGACTGACTCGCCTGCAATGTGTGGCTACCAGGGAAGCAGCGATTTGCGGAGTTGCAAGAACCACCATTCTGCTGTCCTCCAAAAATGCCTGCTTCTCTTCTCTCCAAGAGCCTGATCCATTGATGCAAGTTGCAAATCAAATGCTTTTTCTCACTGCTTGTCAGCTGTCTAGCATAATTTTGATAGGTGTCTGTCTTCAAAATTGATGAATGCGCTGTAGTTTTTCAGCTCTAGAATGAAACGAGACGGCATGGTAAAGCGCAGGTTCTCACTTTCCATTACATCTCGAACTAGTTGCTCATTGTTACATACCTTGAGCTGCAACACAACCACGCATCATGTGAGTTTCACAAGCTGGGCGTGCACACTGTGACTGAGGCGCAGGGGGATGAAGCAAACCTGACTCCTCCAACCAGGATAAACAGTTGTGCATGCGGCCTCTCTAGCAACATGACCGTCAGAAAGGCTGCCAGTGACTACATTGACACAAAGTCCTCATCGCATCCACGCAGCGTTGCAAGCAGCGCTCTGCTGCGTGAGCTGCGAGCACTGCGTGTAGACTTAGCCACCGGTGGCATTGCAAAGCTCACGCTGCTACTACAACAACAAGCCGGTGTGGGCGTTGCGTCGCCCTCAGGTTGCCTCTTGGTTTGGTCCTGCTAGCTGGGTCTGGTTTAGCATGCGCAGTCAGTCAAGCCCGCAACATCATACGTAGATATTGCAAAGCAGTGAAATGCAGCCATTACAATTACGCGTGTTTGCACAACGCTGTGAGCCATGGATGGCCAAGAAAAAACAGCAGCAACGTGAAGAGTGAGCTCCAGCATCAGGATCTGTCATGTAACTGGTCCATCAGACCGTTGGATGGGATGCTTTTCTCCAGAGGCTGAGCTGCGAACTCCGGAACGATCAATAATCCGTGTGAAACGTGGCAAAGCAGCTGGAGCAAGAGCCGACGAATGCGAAGATCGATGACCGTACCGGCATTTTTGGCTAGCAATTGTTATTCACACTTGACGCAGGTTGTCTACATCTTCTACACACGGCAGCTCCATTCTGCATCTTTCTGCTGCTGACCAACACGTCCGGGTTTAGGCCGGCCCCTAATCATGTGCACGCATGGAAAATGAAGGAGTACGCAAATTCATCAGTCAAAACTATCTGCTTCTCTCGAGCTTTCTGCGCTGCCTTTGAGACGCTCTTGCAAAGCTACAAGTAACCCTCTCAGCCCCCGAGAGGGCTTCCCAAAGCTAAGTGCCGGACCTCTGGATGCTCCCAACGCTGTAGCAAAAGCTGCGAACATCCTGGCTGCCTTCGTGGACAAGACACAATGGAAGCTGTGGCACCGGATGGCTGGCTCGGCTCTAGGGCTTCAGCATACTGCTCGGGATTGGGCGTGAAACCTGCCAAGACCACGCAAACTCCGTCAGGCGATAAGGAAAAAGGAAAGCACCACGAAAAGCAGAACCACATCTGCGCAAAGCTAAGGCGTCCGGCCCTGCTGGGATGCGTCGTTCCAGCCTGAAAATGCTTTTGGAGGGCTGTGAAACATGACTGCAGATGGATGGAACCCCAGATCTTCCCAGAATGTGTAGCGTGTTTTGGCAAGTTTTGGATTTTTTGGGCACTGGGTCAGGGCCTGGCCGTCACAGGATGCCAGGCTGTGGCGCAGATTGTACTTCATGCTGGGGGCTGGTCCGCATGTGACCAGACATGACAACATATGGGCTCACTGCCATGGGAAAAAAGGGAATGTGGCACAGCAGGAGGGTTGAAAAGTACTGCTTGCTTGAAGTTTAGCATTCTCCAATTTGAGACCCTTCTCGGTCGCTGGCTTTGAAAGAAACTCGGACAGTTGTGGCATCTCTGCTCAACAGCGCCCCTAGCGTCGGGTTATTAGGCCCGGCCAAGCGTCGATCCTACAAGAATACTAGATGTCTTCTGCCGCATCAATGGTAGCGCTGATTGGTTCTTTTAGCAGTTGTGCATCGTCCGCTGCATCTTCCGTCGATACTCATCCTTTCATTCCCTGCTTCCTTGTAAGGATATGAACTAGCCAAACTACCCCAACACGGCAGATCAACCGTACTCTGTTGGGCTTGCGCCCTGCAGCAATCGCACAACATCCAGCCAAGATACCAGATGCTGCAGCATTGGCAGTTTGTTGCGGCCTGTCAAGCTAGAGCAGTTCTCATGCTCGCAGCTAGGCAAAGTTTGTGCACATGCAACCTGGGGTTTGCCAGGACTGCCCAGATGTGATCCATGCCTTAGACCGATGACATCATGCCTGCTGGAAGGTGGTCAAATGCTCTGGGAACGGCACGGACTGCGTCTGCGCGGCGCCGCGCAGCAAGCAATGCCGCCTGCGTGCAAAGGGGCAGAGGCACAAGCAGATCGGATCTGCTTAAAGCCGAAGCGACGCCTCGTTTAGCAGGTTGGCCAGGTCTGCACCGCTCATCCCCTCGATTGCAAAAAGAGGCACCAGGACCCGTCCTTCTTGTAGGCTTTCTCTAGACTCTAGACAAAGCTAGGCTTGCATGCCTCTGTCCGCCGTGCAAGCAGGTTGAGGTCCAAGTTCTGGCAAGCAAAACAGGTGCCAGCACATCATCTCCTCTTTTTGAAACGCAGTTTGCCTCAAATGTCAGTATACACAAAATGAGCAGCAAGCAATGCCACACCTCAGTCTTCAGCTTGGCTGCGTGGATCTGCAGAGTGGCCTCAGTTCTCTCTTCCGTGCTCAAACGGAGTCGTCACCATTCGTCACCCTTTCAGGGCAGCACCACCCTCTCAGAATGATTTGGCAGATTCACCATTACTATGCGGTCTAATCGTCCCGGCCTGCTTCCAGGGTAAGGCTGGCAAGAGTTTCGGTTGTTGCGCTTGAGGCTCTTTAAGCTGCGCCTCACCAGAGCCTCGTCTAAGCAGTGGTACCTGTTTGTTGCCGCAATGGTCACAACAACTGGAGCACCTGCAGAGTCGATTGCGTAACTGGCAGGTCTGTGAACCCGTTGTCAGAGTCATGCTTTCATGCAAGCAGTTCAAAGCCATTGGCCAGATGACAGTGCTAGCCAAGTTTGCGTGCCCAAGTTTCAGCATGTCAGACTGGAGTGGGACAGGAAGCGGGTCTCGAAGATGCTTATCTTTTGATCCCCAACTTCAACGCGCTGCCCAGGCAGCTTTAAACCCAGGTGCCCTCACGTCGGCTCGCATTGGCATCACCTTGCAAGTTTGATGCATTGACTGTTCTAAGACATGTTGTATCCCCCAAAGGTCATAGCCTGCAGGGGCTGAACGGCCTTCTCGAGGTGATTCCTCGACATGGTCCTAAGCCGCACACGCTTGTGTGAGAAAGGCTGCTCAGTAAAGCGCCCCTGTGGTTCAAACAAATCTTTCTGCCAGGCTTCACCCACTTCCTCCTCCGCTTGCAGGCTCGGCACAACGGGCAGTTTCTCAGGGCAGGGCAGTCTTGGAAGAAATAAGAGCGTCCATTCTTAGAGGCTCGCACCAGCAAGGCGCCGTCAAGGACGATCCTCGGAATTCCAGCCTGGTCAGCTTCGGAGCATGCTGTTCAGAAAGGAAAGGATGGGGAGGCAAGATGTGAAGCAACTCCACCAAGACTCGAGCGGATCGAACAGCAGAGCTCGCATTGCCGAAGATGCCAGGGTTGGTACTCAGCAGCTCACGCGACCCAATAGCACAGAATAGCGATTACAGGATGACATTGAGTCTCACCATGAGCACAATGCCTTTCTCTGCCAGTGTATGTATGCTGCTTGCAGAACAAATGCTGGCATTGGGTGCATGACGCACATGGAGAGAGTTCTAAGTTCTGAGACCAGCACACCTTTGCCCCAGACATGGGAGCTCCGAAGATCTTCGGGAAAAAACAAGAATCACTGCATGCCTTCCCCTTTGGCTCTTGCTTTGACCCACCTGGAAGAGGTTCAGGAAGTCCTGGAAAGACTCCGACAGAGCACGGCTCGGCAAAAGCTGAGCAGGGGCCTGGTTGGGCATGCCCAAGCTGTGACCCACCTTGGCAGCTCCAGACAAAGAAAAAAAAAAGATCCAAACAGGTCGCGTGGCATGCTTTGAGATCATCAGAATTATGTTCCAGACCGCAAACTTCCAGAAGTTTTGGACGTAGTGCTGGCAATTTGCTTGCAGGAGATCATAGCCTGGCGCCACCGCTAGAACAAACAAGCTCATGAATGTCCGGCTTTCAGCCTGCGACTGACTGGGCTCTGGCCAACTCCTGACACAAAGTATTTTTTGCCTCACTGCTCAGCCTTGATCTCAGCATGAAGGCCTCAAAGTGAGCCACCGTCGGCCTCGAGTGAAAAAACAGCAGCATACAGCAGCAGCCTCCACCGCCTTCAACCAAGGGATCTTCTCCGAGCAGCAGGCCCATGGTCCAGCATCTTCTCGGAGAAGAGCTTGGCCCTCAGCTTAGGAGATTCAAAACATTTAAACAAACTATACCAATGTACAGTACATTTTATGAGGCACTCAAGGCACAGGTGAAGTGCTCCACGCAGCTTCCCTCCAGCGATGTTTTCTCCTTGCTTCTCATCTCGGCTGGTTGGCTGCTTGGCTGGTGCCTCAGGGGTCGGCATATCCTGGAGAGAGGCAGCTACAGTACCCCTGGGATCTCCGGAGAGAACTTGCGCGCGCTTGTCACAGGATCCGAGTTTGCGGAGCTCCACATCGCTGGGACGTCGTACAAGTTGGACAGCTCAGACCACGGGGCGTCGCCTTCTGCATGCCTGGATGTCTGTTCTGGTGGCCGCGTTCAGAGGTCATCATCGCCCGTGTCAAACATTCCAGGGCCTGCTGGGAAACACAATTGCAGCACTATCAGTACTTCAGAACATCCGTCTTAGCCAAGTCTTGAACACCAAACACCTTGCAAACCAGGCACCCATAGGGTCCAGGAATTGCACAGGCTGCGAACCACCCTCTTTTGCGTGTTTGTTCAGCGCCTCAGAATCTGGCACGAAGGCCATGGGTTTGGTTTACGGTCAAAACAGAAGGCCAAGAGCTGGCTTTCTAGGTATGGGCGAAGAAGGCCCGGCAAGCCAGAGCTCACGTTCGTTTTTCAGCTCTGGCGGGAGTCCGGCCGGAGGGAATCCAAAAATTATTCGAATGGCAGGAAGCCAAGGCACATGCTGCATCTTCCGCATCTTGTAGCCATCAGCATCTATTATGGGCATCCAACCTTCGTCCTTGTGCTGAAATCCGTTGGGGGGTTCTTTGCCAGGACAAGACCTGGACATCTTTGTGCAAATTCGTGAAGTGAACTTCTCGTTGGACAGCTTCTTCTCGCCAGAAGGTCTGTAGTGCTTGTAAAGCCTCAGCCAAGGTCAGCAAGAGCGGTGATCACAGCTGCAGGTATGATGCTCTCTGAGCGGCATCTCAGTCATGTCCTCGCGGTGCTCCTCGAAAACAGCACCTGGCAACACGGAAGTCAAGACTCCGCCACGCACCATAACATGGGCAAGTGTGCTCTCTGATTATCGTGTACCAGTAAGATACCCGAGACACATTGCTAGATGATGCCAGAAGTGCTGCTAGCTGGACCCCTGGTATGAGAAGCTGATGGCCTAGCTTGCTCGTGTGCTGATGTCCTGCCTGAGCATCCAAAGGGCGCAAAGACGGATTACAAGGATTGCACCCTTCGCAGCAACGCAGTACATAGCAAATATGTGGGAATAGCACACACAGCTACAACTCTGAAACAGGGCAGGTGCGCGGCAAGCATGCGCAATGGTGTTGCACTCTCGGCGACACTCTCCAAGCTCACCCTTGTTCTCAAGAGTCAAGATATCCGACGGATCCTGCCAACTTCAGTATAGCTACAGGAAACAGAGTCTGGGGCTGAGAAGCATCAGCCAGCGGTCCACGGAATCTTGTTCTGCATCAACAGCGTAATCTGTAAATGCCCGAATTAGCAAGTATTCCAAATGTGTCCAATCTCCTTGCCTTTTGGACAATGTCATAGTGTGTCATCCATTCGCCTCTCAGATTGGACTTTAGCTACCTCGACATCTGCTGCAGGAAGGCAGGCACCTCCATTGTCATCAGGATCGCAAATGGCATCCAGCACTTCGCCGATTTCTAGCTCACCAACGGTGCCTGTCTCCAACGAGTTGTCTGCACTACAAGTTCTGGGTTCACGACGAGCGGCCGCTTGGAAGTTCCGCGGCCTTGTTCGCCACCTGATTCCTTGGCATGCACCAGGTGCCCATGCTTGAAGGGATGGACATCGCTTTACTCTGGGAGTGGTGCCATGCTTCGTTCGCGGCAAGCTTACCTGACTTTCAATACTTCGAGAGACGCAGCAGTTACAAGTTACCAGAACAGTGGCTAAGCACTCCAGAGCTTACAGCTTGCACCAGCTTGCTCATCAGGTCACAGGAGGCGCACTTGATGTAGGGCTCACTTTTGGCCAGGCGAGTCGGTTTCTTGCCCACTGCTGATCCCATCAGCTCCTAAGCTGCCCAGCGAAGCAGCGAAACATGATGAAACATGCCTGTATATGCCATTGACCCACAGATTTATCACCAGAAATGTTGAATCCCGATTAGTAAGTGGGCCCCTAATCAAGTAAAGTTTTATGAGAATGTGGGGGTTCCCAATAAAGTAAAGTTTGTTCTGCTGGAAAACATTTCTAGGGAAGGTTTTGATCAAATTCATGTTCAATGGATTTGAAAGAGATGTTCTTTGATTTGTATTAGATGGTCAGTGCTTTTAATAGGTCTTCAAGACCAGGCGGTTGAACGCAAAGGCTGAGGACCCTGTCCTTCCTATTCTCTTGAAATCTAGACTAAGCAAGCCCTGAAAATGGATTCAATAGAAGTTGAAGGATCCCTCTGCGTTCATTGATTGCAATAGGAGTTATAGGATCCCCCAGACGCCCAATTCATTCTGAAGCATTTTTGTTATAGAGGCTTCCCTTTGTGTTTGGGGGAGGGGCCCACACCAGTCAGGCTCCTACATTAGTAGCCACAGGCTCCGGCGGAACGTTCGCATCGGTGAGCAAAGGCAGAAGTGACCATACCACAGCTGGTGGTACTGCAAAGAGCCGCCCATTGCGACGGGACTGAGAGGCCATCCGGCACCGTGAAAGCAGCAACTGTTCTGCGGCGGTCTAAACTCAGAATGCTGGCGCCTCCGTCTGCTGTGTACTGTATTGCTACTGCGAAAGGCATTGAGCCCAGCAGCTTCATGGAAATGCACATTGTTCTCCAAGCTGGTGCTCTGCATCTGGTGGCATCAGACATAAGTTTGTAGGGAGAAGGCTTCCCGTCAGAGATAAGCTTGGCAGCTTCCGAAGGCACCTGCCACTCCAAACATCCTTCATAATCCCCATGTCATCTCAAGCATGGCCTTGGCGGCTGCAATTCTACCAGGAGACACACTAGCCGCTGCCGGACTTGTTCCGTGTCCTGGACCAGCAACAACTCAATGCTGTTTATGACCAGCTCCCGTTGCCTTCAGGACCACCGCCCGCGCCATGGCGATGAGCCAGATCCTGTCTGCAGGGCGATTGCCTTGCTGGAGCGCTTATCGCATGAAGTCCTCCATGGGCATCGCTTTTCCCTTGAGGAAGGGAAGCATGGTCCCGTGGTGCAGATCTTCCACCTCTGCGGCGGGTTGACACCAACGCACCAGCTTTTGGCTTTGAATTGCTGTTTGGCATACGAGAACCTGTGTGCAGCTACACCTCCTGCGCTGGAGAGAGCGAAAAATGAGGCTGGTGGACTCAGGCAAGAAGCCGGAAAATAGAAGGAGGTTTCTCCTTAGGCAGTCACCGCCTCCCCTGCTGAACATTTACCTAAGCTCCTCGGTCTCTTGCCGGCCGATAGACTCTAGACTTGGTTACGGAGCAGGCGCGCCCTTCTCCGCTATGCCAAGAAGGCCTTCGCAAGCATTGCTCCCTACAGCACTCTACAGCGCTACGCGAAAATT